CACAATTAGACTAATTCTCGATATCTCCTTTTACAAATACATTGAATAGAGCACTCTCATGAATTATTCCGATAATCTCCTTTGGAATATAATCTTTCTTGGGTCATCATGTCGTTATATTATTCATGGATATAAATTATTACATTAAGTCAAGCAATAATCTTTTTGAAAATATCAATTAAAAACATTTTATTATAATTTCAATACCTCGTAGACCAAGATTTTCATCATGCTAACTTGCATACCGAAAAGGTTCATACATTTTTTGTCCCAAAGTAATAAAGAAGCACTATCTGAGTTGTCTATAACACATACGCTTACCTTGTACCTAATAAATAGAATATAATTTTTATTAAAATTTTAAAATGTTGTAAATTTATTTAATTAAAAAATATAAATGATATAACCTATACACTCCATCGAGATAATCTATATTGCATTTCTTACATTTAAATCACAAACCATTTGGAATAAATTTACTGTTGCATGTCTTACAACCAAGGTAGCACCATTCAACTGTGCTTTCAATCTCAACCACACCATCAATTATCTAATAGTGTCCGTTCTACAAATAATAATAAATATATTATTAAGGAAATTTAGAATAAACATTCCTCTTTATTTTCATTCATATATTGTAGCGCTTTGGATAAAATTTTATCGGTGCAGATTACTTTAAAACGCTAACCTCAAAGGCTGCCTATAGATAGTCTTTTCAAAACGTTAACGATGATCACTAACGCTATTCCCAAACAGGCCCAATATTAATAGCTTCCTTTTCTTTTTTAAAGAATAATATTAAAAATAGTAATATAATCAGTCTAGATTTTTTGTCAATTCTTTAATTTTTTAATCTGTTCCCATAAAAATACAATTTCTTTGTTATTTCTTTAATTTTTTAAATTTGATCCCATAAAAAATATGGTTTCGTCTTTCCTTTTTAGTTTTGTTTGCATTGAAAACATACTATATTTTAAAAATAACCTCCTTTGCTTTTCTAAGTAATAATAATAATAATAATGTCGTCGGTCCTATATTTCTTTTTTTGTTAGTTCTTTACTATTTTTAATGATTTCTCATTAAAAAATATATTTTTAAATATATTTTATGTACCAAAGTAATCACGATTTTAAAGAATAATAATAATAATAGCATTGGTCATATAACTCCTTGCTTGTTAATTCTTTACTTTTTTAATCTCTTACCATAAAAATGGTTATTTCTTTCTTTTTTAATTTTTTTTTACATTAAAGACACACTTTGGTTTAAAAATAATTTCCTTTTCTTTTTTAAAGAAGAATAATAACACTAATAATATCATCGGTCTGATATTTTGTTTTTTGTTAATTCAATCTTGTTTACAAATAATTTCTTTTGCATTTTTAAAAAGAATATTTTTCATGTGCTAAAATAATCATGATTTTAAAGAATAACAATAACAACAACAACAATAGCAGCATCGATCCTATATTTTTTATCTATTCCCATTTAAAAAATACGATTTCGTCTTTCCTTTTTAATTCTGTTTACATTAAAAACATACTATTATTTAAAAATAACTTCCTTTCCTTTTTCTAAATAATAATAATAATATCATCGATCCTATATTTCTTTTTTGTTAATTCTTTACTATTTTTAATCAGATCCCATAAAAAACACAGTTTTAAATATTTTTCATGTACTAAAATAATCACGATTTTGAATAATAATAATAACATCGGTCATATATTTTTTGTTAATTCATTACTTTTTTTAATCCGTTCCCATAAAAAACGGTTTCTTCTTTCCTTTTTTATTTTGTTTACATTAAAGACACAATCTTGTTTGAAAATAACTTCCTTTACTTTTTTAAAGAAGAATAATGATACTAATAATGACGGTTTTAAATCTTTATCATGTCCCTACTTAATCACGGTTATTAAGTAACAACAACAACAACAACAACAACAACAACAATATAAATTATAATAATAATAATAATAATAATTAAAAATAATAATAACAATAGCAACGGTCCTATATATATATTTCATTGTTTGTTAATTTGTTACTTTTTTTTAAACATGAAAAAAAGGGTTTCTTCTTTCTTTGTTTGTTAATTCTTTACTTTTTAAAAATGTTCCCATAAAAAATACAATTTCTTCTTTCCTTTTTAATTTTGTATACAACGGTGGATTACATATTTAGGGCCTGTTTGGGAATAACGTTAGAGATTAGCGTTAGCGTTTTGGATAAAATTTTAACGGTGCAGATTACTTTGAAAACGCTAACGCTAAATGCTGTCCGTAGATAGCCTTTTCAAAACGCTAACGCTAATCGCTAGGGCTATTCCCAAACAGGCCCTTATTTTGGTCCGATATTTCCATGTTTGTAGATTTTTTACCTTTTTCTTTATTAATGGTACCAAGAGAAATAACTTTCCTTATTCGATCTTAAAACACTGGATTATATATCATCCGTAGATCTCATTTTTTTCTAAGAATCAACGGTTAAGATTGCTTTGCATTTGGGTGGGAAAACGCTGGTGCATTTTTACCCTGCTTTTAAGAATAGAATGATACCTGGAGTATACAAGTAAAATTTTATATACATACATACATATACATATACATAATACATACATGCATATATATATATATATATATATATATATATATATAAAATCTTACAAAAAAAATGATGGCATGCGTATTAATTTTTCAAATGATAAAAAAACATATACGCAAATAAAAGTTATCGGAAGCTTCAAATAGTAAAGATGACGATGATTTAGGAACATAGATAGTAATTTTTTTCTTTTTTGGGGTTCTTGTCCAATTTGATTTTTTAAAATTAAATTGGATAGATTGTAATTATCAATTACATTGTAGAAACAATGAAATAAACGTTTGATATTTTCAATAAGATAAATGTAATGAAACTATTTTATACTAATATCATAGACAATTTTTATTTTAAATAACAATCGAGTTTGTCCGTTTAATTTGAAAAAACCAAATTACATGAGCAAAGTACTTTGCCGAAGTACTCCCTATTAAGGAGCGTTAATTGCACTCGTTAATGTTTAGCTGTTTAGGTGAATAAGATCTGAGTTCGATTCCTGACAAATGCACTAGGAGATAACAATAACTTTTAATTTTAAGGTTTCTAAAGTAAATTTAAATATAAATCATTTATGAAAAATGATTCATAACACTAAAAATAGTTTAAAAAGATAGTAATATTTAAAATAGAGTCTTTATATAATTGCCCTATAAAGCTATTAGGAAAGTTTTTCTTCAACAAAGCTAGAGAACTGCAAATGCTGTTCTTAAAAGCTAGGTGTAGACATCTTTTCTCTATAAAGTTTGAAAAACAATCTCGTTTTGAAATCCTCTTTTTTTGTGTGTGACTAGTTTTGTTACTCCCATCAACCGTTTCAATTTGATTGCGTGTGGGATATTGTTACGTTTGTTGTGTGGGGGATGGTTTTGTCTCTCTTTCGCTAATTGGCTATGCTTTTTATGGACTTTAATTTGTGACTTATCACGAATAATTTTTGAATTCTTTGTGCAGCCCTTCAATATTGAACTTCCTGTCTTTTAAGGTTTCACCACTACACAAAATATACTCCCTCAACTTTAAATAATATTCTTTCACAAAAAAATTACCAAAATTAAATTTTATGCAGAATAGAAGAATAATGTAGTCCGTATTTATGTAAATCATATTTTTTTCCTAAATGAAATCAGACTTTTATTTTGAAACATTTAATTAAAAAACATGACATTTATTAGTCTATCTGTGGTCTCTTCACCCAACACAGCGCCACCTGAGCTTCAACTTCCCCTTCCCTTCCTCTTTCAGCCGTTTCAGAAACTCCACCCCCTTTCCTTCCCCTTTCGTTTATAATTTTTAATATTATTTTAATACTTATTTTAATTAAAATAATTAAAGTAAAAACATAAATTAAATATTTCATTACTGTTAAATTAAAAGTAGATAAAAAATTAAAAACACATAAAGAAATTAGTATTTCATTAAATTTATTTTTCTTAGAAGTTTTTTAAAATTTCATTAACTAAAAAACAAAAAATAACCAAAAAACTAATTCGTACAATTTAAAAAACTAAAAAATTTTAAAATTAGAAAAAGAAGTAAAAAACTAAAATTTGAAATAGAACACAAAATTTAAATAAATACTAAAAAAGGTTAAAAATTAAAATTAAAAAATGAAGAGCAAAAACTAAAAAAAAAAACCAGAGAGAAAAGAAGAAGAAGTTGGCACGGAAGAGGCAAAAAAGAAGAAAAGGAATATCGTAAAGACGGAAACGGAAGAAAACTGAAACAAAAAAAAAAGAAAAATACATTTAGGCCCCGTTTGACATCAACGTTAGAGGTTAACGTTAGCATTTTGAACACATCATTTGACAATAGCCTTTAGCGTAAGCAAATGTTGTTCCCGAACAAGACCTAAAAAAGAGACGGGAAAAATGGGAACATGGCCCTTCCCACCACATATACGGGAACATGGTGCACCGCAAAACCTTAACAAAAGGATAATATACGGAGTACATTATTATTTTTAATGTGTTCAAAAAAATTGCATTTGTAACATTAACATGCTAATAACTAGATAAATTGTCAGAGAACAAGTCAACTTTGCAATTGGAGACGTAAAAACGTGCAAGTAGATTTATTTGGTCAAGTAATGTTGACATTGGGTGAGGGTGAGACTCGCGATGGTTAAAAAATTCAACCAAAAGCTTAGTACTCTAAGAGGGAGTCAACATTGGTTAACTCTGCTGTATAATACTCTTTTTGGAGGAATATAAGTGTACATTTTGTTCAAAAAAAAAAAGCAAAACAATTTTTATTAGAATGCATAAGGAATTGTATTTTAAAAAATTGTTTTAAATATGAAAAATGCACTCATTTTTGTGAAATTCAAGTTATATTTTTCTTCACATACTACTGGTTATTAGGAAGAATATGGATTTCTGCACACCATAAAAACATTCCCACCCTTTCCATTGGTACCACAGAGAGATTCAGAAGGTGTTGCGCGGGTGTGCAAAAGGAAGAGCCGAAATCCAAAAATGGTGGGAAAATTCGTACGACATGAAAAATTGCCCATATATATGGAATGTACACGAAGAGTCCCGAGAATGTCTAGCTGAATTCTTGAAGAAGAAGAAGAAACTACACGGAGTATGTTTTGTTTTCTAATCTCTTCATAGAAAAATAGGAGCCATTACCAGAGTAATTGTTGCAAGCATTTTTATGAGTACATGCAGCGATGGTCCAGCTGTGTCTTTGAAAGGATCTCCTACCCTGCAAGCCAAAATACATTTGATTTAAACAAGTATTACAATCCCACTCATGTCAGAAATTGAAAGGAACCAACGGAAACTATCCTTGATAATGATGATAAATTTCAGTGTTAATCATATTGATTATGGCCCTGCTTGGCAATAACGTTAAAGGTTAGCGTTTTGAAAAGGCTATCTGACCGTAGCTTTTAGCGCTAGTGTTTTTTAGAATTAATCTAAGCCATCAAAATTTTATCCAAAACGCTAACGCTAATCGAAAACGGTGTTACCAAACAAGGCCTATACATATGAATGTATGGATGTATGTGTGTATGTGTGTAGCATTAAAAAAGCTGGAGTACTTACGTATCGCCAGTAACTGCTGCTTTGTGACAGTCGCTCCCTTTGCCACCAAGGGCACCGGTTTCAATGTACTTCTTGGCATTATCCCATGCGCCACCAGCAGTGTTGAGGAAGAGAGCCATCAGAATACCAGACACGGTTGCAAACATCAACATTGATGCTACGACCTTTGCCCCAAGCAGTGGTTGCCCCGTGTAATATCCCAGCATCCTGAACAGAAAGCCTGAACAGCAATAATTTGTAGTAGATCAGAAGAACACAGCTCAAGTGTTTCACACTTTAACAATCATATTCTTCCTTCGATATTGAAGTGTTCTATAATTAGGAATTGAAAATGTACAATCATAGCTTATAGTTGTATTGATTTCTTTGCAATGGAGGAAAATACATTCTGGTGGTGGTGGGATTGATTTAAACATAAAGATAAAATGCAAACTTTGGAGAACATACCAACAACTGCAGGTGATATAATGGCCAAGGATCCTGGTTTTATCATCTCTTTTAAAGATGCTGATGCAACAATAGATACACATCGACCATAATCTGGCTTCTCTTTGTAGTCCTTCGACAATCAATGACCAATATATAACAAGCAAACAGGAAAAACCAAAAAAACATCACACCATGTATCAATACAAAATACGTTGTAATACATATCACTAACGTAGAATTTGAGAATACCATTATTCCTGGCCTCTCAATGAATTGTCTTCGGACTTCATTGACAACTTCTTGAGCAGTCCGACCAACTGCCGAACAAGCCCATGCACTGAATAGAAAAATAAGCATAGAGCCCAATAATCCACCAACAAATACTTCAGGTATTGCTATATCAACCTGCATGGTGAATTATGGATTGCCAAATATAATGTTATCAAAAACACAAAAGACAACAAATTTACATGAATAAAGAAGACACCAATGGAGAAGCTTGTTAAAATCTTGGTGCAACACCCATACTTGCTTGAAAGGTACATTAGAAAATGCAGCGACCTCATCCATGTATGCACTGAACAGAAGAAATGATGCCAAGGCTGCAGATCCAATAGCAAATCCTTTGGTTGTGGCTTTAGTAGTGTTTCCAACCGCATCAAGAACATCAGTTATTGCACGAACACTTTCTGGCTGCAAGGGATACTGTTAATTATACTACAGCCCTCTCAGTTAAATGTTAAACTGTGGGAAAAAACCTGGTGACGATTTTGAAATTTCACCTTCACTTTTCACTGTACTTTTTTGCATGAATTTATGGTGTTAATAACTAATTGACAATAAAAATTTCACCCCCCCCCCCAAAAGGGTAAAGGTGGTGGTGATGGCAGTCGTGATTAGTTAAAAAAGACTAAATATATTCCATCCAGTTTGATTATGAAGCATCACCTGTTGACTCATCTCAACTATTCCACCAGCATTATCGGCTATTGGACCAAACATGTCCATGGTAAGCACATATGCTGCGGTACTCAGCATTCCCATTGTTGCTACAGCTGTACCAAACAAACCACCAGTCGGATTTCCGGCATCATCAATCAGTCCTGACGTACGACCCAGCCAGAAAGCTGAGACAATGGATACACTGATGACAAGGACAGGTAGAGCTGTAGCTTCCAGACCCAAACTAACACCAGCAATGATGTTAGTTCCATGTCCTGTTGAACTAGAAAGAGCCAAGGTGCGCACAGGTTCATGTTTATAGTCAGTGTAGTACTTAGTTATCCAAACAAACGCATATGCTGTAATAATTCCAACCAACCCACAGAGTGCAAAATTCAGCCAGGCAGAAGGTGCTTGTTCTGTGTATAATAACCACCGAGTGGACTGCAAAGTAAAATAAGACATAATCAGACACAACTAAGCTAGAGCTACATTGCTTCTCCATACCCTCAAATGTAAAAAGGCAAAAGATGATAAAGCACATACAATGACATGAGGTTGAATGAAGATGAAATTACCAGTCCAAAGGTCAAAACAGCTAAAATTATTGTAATAGAATATCCCTTTTGAAGAATTGCCATAGGATCCTCTATAGCACCAATTACTAATCTGAGCGCAGACAAGGCTTATCTCTCATATGGTTGTCTACTTTATTAGTCTAGTTTACTTACTTGCTGTTCTCCTTTATTCTACTTAGGTCTTCCTAGACGTACGGTTCCAACTGTCTCTTATAACCTATTCAATGATAACGTTGTCGTCTAAGTTCTGATTTTATTATTGCTTGTCGATTGTTTTATATTAGTGGAGATTTAAAAAAACCATTAATTTATAAAAAAAGGAGAAAATGGAACCGATGGAATTGTTGGGTTGGCATGGTTTGGGCCAACAAAAGCGTTAAACATGTTAATCATCAATCCACCTCAATAACATTTACGCTCTCAAAAGATGAAAGTTATTTATCTCCACTATACCCACATTCACATCAGGGTCTTATCTCTACATAGCAGGGATGCACAATTTTTTTGCTACAAAGGTTACATTATTGTATTATACATTACCATGTTGGATTTACAGTTCACTGGAAAATTTAAAAAACCCTAACCGGAATTGAATGTATAACAGATGGATGAGCTGAAAAATCAATTCAAGAAAGCAAATATGTAATTGATCAGCTAAACCAGCAATTAGATTTGATTGTTTCAATCTGAGTGGAGATACAACCTGTTTACCAATAAATTCCTCACCTTCAATTTTGCAGCGATGGGCCATAGTTCCACCAAGTATCATTGCACTAATAATTTCTGCAGCAATACTTTCAAAAAGATCAGCACCCCTGGCAGCACAATCACCAACATTGTCTCCGACCTTCAATATCATGAATATATAACAAAATTGCATATGTATAAGACACGAGCATTGTTGCAAAAGTGTGTCAAATGAGCACAGATTAAGGGGAGTTTCATTTCTTATACTCTAATTAATTTAGCAATTTTTGTGCAATTGTCGAAAAACCAAACTGTTTGTGTTATCTGGTGTCGGCTATATGGCAACAGTCAACACCAGCGGCGGATTTCCACCGGCTTCTTCTCATTATGACAGACACAAAACCTAGCACCAGTTACCCCAGAAACACGATGCCAAACATCCCTCATAACTCTCTGTTTTCACAAGTAGACTTCACCTCGTCTTTAACAAGTTGATCAACTTTGCTTGTGTCCTCATTATTGGTCATTTGAGAACTGCTATGCTCGGTACATTATAGTGCTATCGAGACATCTGAGTTTATATCCTTATAATAAAACAAAAGCCTTTTTCCAAGGCAGACATTAAAGCCAATAAAATTTAGAATTTATATTTCAAACTATGCTTACAAATGAGTCAAGCCGCTTGGTCAAAACTTAAAATGAGTCTAGTCTAATTCAAACTCGAGCTTAATTATTATTGACTCGTGGGCATGTTTGTGCATGTGTGGTAGTAGCCTAGTAGGGTTGGGCTTGGTATTAAACTAATTCCCTAGTCGAGCCTACTGGCCTAGACAATCAAAAATTTGTCCAAGAACACCCATATTGGGCCGGCTCACACGGATAAATATACTTATCCATCCTTTTTTACAGGCAGGCTGGGCTGTGCGAGACGGGCTGACCCACATCTGTAAAGGTCTACAATTGGCAAACCCCAACAAAGCAATGCTTAAACAAAAATATACTAGAATAAGAAAAAACAGTCTTGTACCAAATCTGCAATAACAGCAGGATTACGAGGATCGTCTTCAGGAATGCCCTGTTCTACTTTTCCAACAAGGTCAGCACCAACATCAGCAGCCTTTGTATATATTCCACCACCAAGCTGAGCAAAAAGGGCAACAAATGAAGCGCCAAAACCATACCCAACAAGAAGTAGAGGCACTGCACATCAACATATTTAGATTTAACATTGTCTAAAAAAAGGATAAGTACTAAACTAATAGGACAGAAAGAAAAAATTGAAGCTAACTTACAATCTACTGCCTTCATTCCACCAGGTGAATCTACCCCTAGCCACACATAAAGAATTGCATAAAGGATAGCAACACCCATTACAGCCATACCAACAACTACCAAGGCTGAAAACCCTCCAGCACGAACAGCTACCTAGATATTAAAGATCAATTACAACAAACATTATGGTCATTGAGTTGATACATTTGGAAGTGGAAAAACCTGCAAAGCCTCTCTTGCTGAACGCCTTGCTGCACTAGAGACACGAACATTTGCACGTACAGACACCCACATACCAACATAACCAGCAATTCCGGAGCATAAAGCCCCAAAAAGGAAGGCAATAACAGTAATGTATGCAGTTGCTGACCTGCATTAGGGTCCGAGTGTCAATATACCATAGTAAACATTCAAAACAGTTTTATTTAGAATTGAAGTCCAATTTACCGGCCTATTCCAGACGCTTCTTGTTGAGGAGTTGTTGTTCGGAAAAGATATATGCCTAGGATAACCAGTCCAAGTAATAGTGCCATTTTAGATATAGTCCCATACTGAGTTCTAAAGAAGCCTTCAGCTCCATCACGTATTGCATCTGATATCTGGCATATTAGAGGATGAGTTCAACACCACTAATTCTACGGGCTAATTAACATTGTAGTACTTCACTACTTCATTATATTGGATGGAAGGTTGATTCAAATTGTATGCCAGCTTTCCTAATTAAAATAGAAAGTATAGATTTGATAACCTATTGAGGAAAGGCTTAAATCAACATAAAATATATTTCCCTGTTTTCAAATGTATTTCATGGTTATGAATAAATATGATCCAAACAAAGATTAAAATGGAAATTCCTAAGGCATTCAGTCAGAATAACATAATATTATTATTCGTGACACCAAACAGAACACAATGGAAGAACAGCAGCAAAAAGATGAGAACATATCATAAAATTTGTACCTGAGACATCTCGGGAGGCCCCTCATCCTTTAAAAGCACCCATTTCGCAAGATAAATTGACATGACGGAACTGATTATGCAAACTGAGAACACGAACACGATGATTGGCGAGGTGCTTGCACCAATGTAAAATATGCCTCCAACACAAAAGAGTAGAAGCACTAAAAGGACGCGAAAATTCATCCTCAAGAGAACACGAAAAAACTGCAAAAAGGAGCAGTCGCAGTACTAGAATCAATGCATCAAATGCTATGGAAGTACTACAACAAAGAATAATACAAGCAATCGGAAATACATCGAAAACAACAAACCCAATATGATCTCGGCTCTGTTTGGGTCTTGGGTCAAGATGTACCTAATCCCTGTATCTACACAAAGAGGTTTGTTTCTTTCGGACCCTTGATGCATTGAGAATACATAAATGTAACTTATGGCAAGCAGGTCCCTTTCAAAATGGGGATGTATAAATTAGAAACGATGAAAATCATGAAATGAATTTTGAATTTCTAGGAAGAATATCCCAAGGTCATGTTGGTCCAAGGCTCAAAACCACTAGCAAACAAAATCCATCCTTGATCTTTGGCTTCCTGAAAACATATCATAATGAATACAAGACATGGATCCTACAAAGGAGCATATTTAACAGGCAGTTATATCAACTTATAAAGGATAGAATCACCAAGGATTGCTCAATATTTTGGTTCTGAGTAAAATATTTTATCTAATCATTAACTATAACAGTGAAAAAGCAAATGGCCTCCCCTATGCCAAGTACATAATACTCCGTAAGTAGTAAAGGTTAACTCTTTCTAGATGAAAGCAATGAGACTTGAAAATGGAGTAGGGGAGAGTACATAACAAGATGATAATACAGTCGGAACCGGGAAATGGTCTGTGGTAGGAACAACAGACTAACCCATGGTGCTTGAGATTTGGTGCGCATGTTTGGAAATGTTCTAGGCCTTTCTTGGTAAGGGCCTAACCCTTCAATATCATCATCCATTGGAACAGTTTGGAAGGAATTTATCCTTTGAGCCACAGGAAAAGGGTTGAACTCGCCGCCTGGGGGCAAGTCACCCCCCGATCCTGATCGCTGAATTTTGATCTTGCCTTGTTGCTGATGAAGAGTGAAACCTAGATCATACGCTGATGGAACCTTAAGACGAATTACGCTTTATTTCCACCAAATGGTGCAGCTGAGATGAAATTTTCAACATTTAACACAGAGATCCGAAGGAGATGAAGAATCAACCAGGTGAAATTGTAGCGAAATCCTCACTCAGCAATCCGATCGGCAAAGAACTTTGGAGACCGCACAAATATGAAAATGAGATGTCAATCCAGTAGTAGTATTCGTCTGCGGCGAAGGGGCGGGCGGCGGTGATGAGGACTACTTGAAAGGAGGAGGGATTTGGTGCCTCGGCGGATCGCCAGCAGAAGTGAAGGTTGCGACGCCGTGAGAAGAAAAGTACGGAGTAAATTAGACAGCGTTGCATTGCTTCCCCTGACTTATTTGTCTTATCGAATCATTTTGTCCCACGTGTACGTAATGCGTGTTCTCTATGCCAGGTCACTACCGCAGCGACACGTCGACAGCCGTGATAAAATCCTAAATATTGGCTTTGTTTGGTAACGGCGTTTTCGATTAACGTTAGCGTTTTGGATAAAATTTTAACGGTGTAGATTAATTCTAAAAACGCTAACGCTAAAGGCTACCATCGGATAGCTTTTTCAAAACGCTAACGCTAATCTCTGACGCTAATGCCAAACGGGGACATTGAAAATTTGGTCACCTTTGATGGATTTATTATGAAAACTGGAAAACTGTAGGCGATTTGGAAACAATCTATTCTAGTGACTTTTGAGTCAGAAACAATTTCGACATAAACTTGTCATTTGTATACTTAAATTTTTATTTTTTAATTATTTAAAATTATTTTATTCACTTAGAAAAGTATACAAATAGCAAGTGTATAAAAATAAGCATGTGATAGGTACTTATTTTTGGTGGCTTATAACTCATTCATATGTGAGCTTATAAGTACAAAGAATTATGCTATCAGTTGATTTATAAGTTTAAAATAGCTTAAAAGTAATTTTGACCAACTTATAAACATAGAGAAGCGCCTACATAGAGATAAATAAAATTATATGGTATATTAACTAGATAAATAATAATTTGAAAATATTTTACAAAATAGATCAAATACAAGTGTCCTCATATCAGTATTAAAAATAAAATTTATTTAATTAATTAGTGTCCTCATATCAGTATTACTCCCTCCGTCCACAAATAAACTTTATGTTCACTTAGGGGTGGACACGGTACGGTTCCGAGACGGTTCCGGTTCCGGAACCGCCGGTTCCGGTACCGCCACCCCTTGGTACCGGTACCGTGACCGGACCGGCCGGTACCGGTTCCGGTGCCCCCGGACCGGCCGGTTCCGGTACCGGACCGGCCGGTTCCGGTACCGGACCGGCCACCAATTTCTTCTGCGGTTTCCAGTCGCCGACTCGCCAATGGCTATTGCTGCAGAACAATCCGATGATGGCGATGAGAGCATGTTACTTCTGCGGACCAATTTCTTCTGCGGTACTCCGTTCTCTTCTTCTTTTGTTTTGAGAAATTGGGCTATTGGGCCATGGAGTATTCGACATTTGGCGTGCTTCTTCTTCCTTCAATGTTCTTCGAGAGTTCGAGCGGCTGCTTGAGTTGAGGGCGATGGTTGGACCGCCGGAAAAGAGAAAAAAAATTACACGGTACGGTACCGGAACCGGTTCGGTACCGCCGGTTCCGGGACGGAAATGTTGGCACCGGAACCAGTACCGAGTGGGGCGGTGCCGGTACCGGTTCCTGGTACTGGGTGACGAAACGGCCGACGAGGACGGTTGCAGGTACCGCCGGTACCGGTGCCGGTAACGGTGCCGAACCGGTACCGTGTCCCGCCCTACGTTCACTATTCACAGAGTCAAACTTTATTCACTTTGTTGGCCTATTTTCGTCACCCATTTGATAAAATAATATAGTCATGTCACATCCTGTTTTGTAGATTTTTTGATATACTCCCTCCGTCCGGATTTTAAGTTCTCGGTTTGACTTTTCTTTATTTTTATGGAGAGCTGACTTTGTGCGTAAATTGTGCAATACGCCCCTGCCCTTCACAGACCATTTCACCTATCTCCGCCAACACCCATCCTTGCCCTTTGCTCCGATAATCTTCGCAGCAACCTTGCCGCCGCCGTCAGCCTCCCCATCACCGTCAGCCCATAGTCATCGCCAATTTGGTCGCCGAAAATTAGAAGCAGCGTCCTGGAGAAAGTAGCGTCAGGTAGAGGTTCGAAGCAATGGGCAGCCAGGGAGAAAGTGTAAATTGTTTCTAATTTGGAGGAGACAGAGTATCAATATGTGTAGATCTGGGAAGACTAAAGATTTTGACTAAAGAAGAAGAAGAAGAAGAAGAAGAAGGTTGCCAAAGAAAGAGGAAGAAGAAGAAGAGTAGATCTACGGATCAGAGGAGATTTTGACTAAAGAAGAAGAAGAAGGTGGCCAAAGAAAGAGGAAGAAGAAGAGCAGATCTACGGATCGGAGGAGATTTTGAGGAGAAGAAGAAGAAGAAGAAGAAGACAAAAGGAAGAGGAGGAGAAAGAGTTGGTGTCTTGGGGATCGAAGAGGAGGAGAATTGAAAGACAGTGCAGACCTGACAGATCCGAGAAAGAAAGAAAGAAATAGAGATCAGGGATGGGGAACTGAAAATGAAGGGAGAAAGAGAAAAGGAAGAAGAAAGAAGGAGAGAAGAGTATTTTAGGAAGAATGAGAATGAAAAGGTATAATGGGAATTTAAAATCCGGACAGAGAAAAGTGTGGAATGGGAACTTAAAATCCGGACGGAGAGAGTAGTTTTTTAATATGTAATTTTTATTTTTCAATTTTATACCATTTTTCATATAAAAAATTTGAAAATAACTTCAGTCAAACATCGTAACGCGTAATGTAAAGTTTATTTGTGGACGGAGGGAGTATTAGTTACTATTACTATTATTAGTAAGTACGATGATAATAAATTATTAATTATTATTATTAATTATTATTATTAATTAATAATAATACAATCCTAAACTTTCTAGCGTGGTTGAAAGGAAGAAAAAAGAGTCAAATTTGCCAACAATTTTTTTTTCCCATTTCAACAAGATGAGCATTGGTTGTCCAACATAAGAGTAACATCGTTCATGGTAGGTCTAGCCTTCCATGTCTCACTGCTACACATCGTTGCAATCCCCAAGTAGCGTCTCATTTCATTTTCCGTCGGATTATTATATACAGATGAAGCCAAGCTTGGATCAATAATGTCACGGTGCCGGTTCTGCGCGATCATGGCCCCGGCCCATTCCACCAACCTCGTCTCCCGCCCGTCTTCCCCGGCGAATGGGAAGTTCGGCCGTCTTCCGGTGACGGTTTCCAGCATCAACACCCCGAAGCTGTACACGTCCCCCATCTTCGTCGCCATTGCCGCGCCGTGGATGTACTCCGGCGGCATGTACCCCATCGTTCCCGCCACCTGCGTGGACACGTGCATTCTGGAACCTTCCATTCGCCTCGCCAGTCCGAAATCCGCGATTTTGGATTCGAAGTCTTCGTCCAGCAGGACATTGCTGGCTTTGATGTCCCGGTGGATGATCGGAGTTTCGAGGCCGTGCATGTAGGCCAGCCCTCTGGCCACTCCTTTGACGATTTTAGCCCTCGTCTCCCAGGTCAGAGGCTCCGATTCGGACGCCGTGGGGTGGAGCCACTGGTCCAGGCTGCCGTTCATCGCCAGCTCGTAGATCAGGACCCGATCCGGACCGGCGGAGCAGTACCCGATCATTTTGACTATATTTGGGTGCCGGATCTTCCCGAGGGTCTCCATCTCGGCCCGGAACTCGCGGAATCCCTGGAAGGCGTCGGCGGAGAGCCTCTTGACGGCGACGTGGAGGCCGGAGGAGAGCTCGGCCTTGTAGACGAGGCCGAAGCCGCCGTCTCCGATGACGAGATCCGGGGAGAAATCTCTGGTCGCGTGGACCAGCTCGCACATGTCGATCCGGCTGATGTCCGTCGGATCAAACGTGACGCTCTCTGGGACGGCGATGGAGGAGAGGCGCCGGCGAGTTCGCTTCCTGGAGACTGTACCGAGTAGGACGCGGATGGAGACGAAGATGAGGCTCAACACGATGCATCCTGCAGCCACGAAAATGAATTGCAGTAGTCGTAAACCCATATGCTGCAATAGACCTATAGCCAGAGATATCTACAGATTGATAGATGGGAGATCATGTAGATCTATGCCTCGATCGGACCAGCCCGCCATTGACGATCGAGTCAACGTTAGGTTTTCCTAATTGCGGTCTTCTTGGCAAAACCTAACACGGAGTTTGGGAAGATGAGATGATGGGGAAGATTATTTTTACAAATCATTTCCACCAATTATTTTCCCCATTTGCCCCCTTCTCAAGCGGACTCTAAAACTGAATTGTGTTGGTGTTAGGGGTACCATTGGGTAAAAGGGCACCGCAAAAGTGAGAACGGTTAAATGCTAAAGTCTAAATTAATCAAATATTTTTTGATCGATTCAGGATTCATATTTGAATGAGGTGATTTGTATTTGATTTTTTCATATTTGAATTTGAATCTGAATAAATATTCGAATCTTTATCAAATACGAATATGAGTTAAATCATTTTTTTCAATAATCTGAACCAATGTGGGGATTTTATATTTTGCCTATCAATGACAATTGAATAAAAATAAATTCCATAATTGTTTCTTTATAACAGGGGGTTTCTCTATTTAATACTCTATTATCAAATATTATCCTAGTGGTCTTTTTATGTGTATCTTTCCACAAATAATCCTTTTTGATCATATATCATGTTGGTGTTAATTTGAGGCTAAAAGTGTAATTTCACAATGATAATACTCCCCCCGCCCCCTATATTTGTCCACATTTGACTTTTGGAACTGTTCATCTAAGCACTTTGACTCATCAAATTTTTTCAACGTGTAAGCCTAAATATAGTCATGTGTGATCTTGTTTGATTTGTCTTAACATATAGATTATTAATATATAATTTTTATAATTTTTTAAAATACAAATTATAAGATAAAATGGATCAAAGAAGTGCATTGGATGGTGTGCAAAAATGAAAGTGGACAAATACATGATGACGGAGGGAGTATATCTTATTTGTCATACACAATTCCAAAGGCTGTTCCGTTTGCATCGTTTGTGAATTATAGTCGCTTTCTACTATAACCATAGTCTACAAATATGGTCTTTCGTTGAAATTCTAGCTTACAATCATAGTCATTATTTTTGTGTTATCCGCTTAACTAATATCAGAATACGTCACTATACATAATGTTGACGTCAAATTATACTTTTAGCCTTTAAATTAACACTAACATGACAGAAGATCAAAAAAGGACCATTTATGGAAAGGCACCATTAAAAAAAGGACTACGGAGGTAATATATGATAACAGAGGACTAAATATGGAAACCATTCTGTTTTAAAGAACCAATTATGGAATTTACTTATTGAATAATAATTGAGTTTATAAATGAAAATAAATGTTTGTAAAATTTCAAACTGATGGGAAATAATACGTGGCTCGGCCCACATTTCCCAATTATTTTACGAAGAACAGTCAAACCGGGCCTGTTTAATAAAATGGAGGAATAATAGAATATTCTCCCGTAGATGCTCCAGCTACCCCTATAAAAGAAGGGCTCCCCCTCATTGCTAAGGGAGCCAATTTCACTCTCATTCCCTGCTCATCTACTCTCTCTCTAGAAAGCTTTAGTGTATATTTTCTTCTTCTTCAAGAGCTCAAATGCTCCATTAATGGCTTCTACGCCTAAATCATGTACCGTGTACACACCCCCGATATTAATAAAAATCCCCCGTTGGCAAGGTACCGCCAAAAAAGGCTCGTGGTTTTCTCCTGATTTGGGTTTCCACGTAAAAATTCCCGTGTTTATATTTTGGTGTATTTTTTAGACTAGTTTATCGTTTTAGCCGGGCTAAAACGATATACCGGTCGATAATTTACACCATCATTTTGGCGCCGACCGTGGGACGTGATCAAAAGGCTATGTTTTGCTCTTCATATTCTTGCCGATACAGGGGAGCTGGTGGGATGGTGATTGATTTCCCCCTACACTGCAATGAAAATGGTAGAGCACAATACACCATTTTCAAAGGCAAAAGTGAGCACATTAAAAGCAGTTTCCAAATCCAGCATTTCCAATTTCAAATCAAAAAGGCTACTGCGGCGGCAACATTCCGCGCAGAATCTTCAAGGAGCAAAAGACGGGAGGCCACTTCTTATGCCTCGTAGCAGAGGATCTTCTCTCTGTTCCCACCGTGCCATTTTTTCCTAGAGGAAGGCAACGACCAATCCTCCTCCTCCGCCAGTAACGGTGTGGAGGAGACCATCTGCACCGGCATCGCCATTATGCACGACGTCAGCATCGCAGCCCCGACCCACACATCTCCCGCAGCCACTGTCGAAGAGGAGGAAGGAGACAACCACACAGCCGGGGGCAATTCGCTTTTTCTGGCGCCAAAGTTAGCCATTACTCTGACCGAGAGCAAGCGGACGAAGTCTATCACCACTGTCACCATTAGATTTGTCATCATCGCCCTGCACGCCAGTGACTGGTGGTCATCGGTGATGCCGCCGAAGTCCGTTGTAGCCAAAGTCAGCCTGCTACCTCAAAAGACTGCTGCTGCTGCTTAGGAACGTGGAGGTGTACTTAACAGTGACCAGAGTCACCTGCATCGCCGTCAAAAATGAAGTCCTCACTCTCAAGGACACCTCCCTCTCCAGCAATCTGCTCCGGCGATGCAGAGAATCCACACTGCCATCGTGAATCTCGGCCTGGACGCCAAAGTCGAAACCACCACTGCGCATTCGCTGGCCGTGCTCGAGACCCCGTATCCGCCGGCCGATAGCTCGTTCCGGCCAAATCTGATCAAGTGCGTCGATTGGGTCGCCGTTTCTGATCAATTATTTCGCGTACATTCTGTACAAGGCTAATTCGAAGCAGGCGTCCCTCAGATTGCTCTTCCAGCCCAGCGATGGGATTGTCGACCCCAAAACCGGTCTCCACTTTGGCAAGATGCTGTTGGCCCAGCTTGTTCATCTCACATCCAGAGACAAAGGGACGAAAGAGGGAAGGTGCATATGTTCACATGCATTCATCACTCTTTNGAGAACTAATGAAGACTCGGAGGACTAGCAACAATATCAACCGGTCAAGAATCCAAAGTACGAAGATCGAAGATAGCACTCGGAGGACTTGTTTACTTTTTCAAGTTGATGATTCTCACAACTTAAAAAAGTGGAGGACTTATTGATGGGAAATAATACGTGGCTCGGCCCACATTTCCCAATTATTTTACGAAGAACAGTCAAACCGGGCCTGTTTAATAAAATGGAGGAATAATAGAATATTCCCCCCGTAGATGCTCCAGCTACCCCTATAAAAGAAGGGCTCCCCCTCAATGCTAAGGGAGCCAATTTCACTCTCATTCCCTGCTCATCTACTCTCTCTCTAGAAAGCTTTAGTGTATATTTTCTTCTTCTTCAAGAGCTCAAATGCTCCATTAATGGCTTCTACGCCTAAATCATGTACCGTGTACACACCCCCGATATTAATAAAAATCCCCCGTTGGCAAGGTACCGCCAAAAAAGGCTCGTGGTTTTCTCCCGATTTGGGTTTCCACGTAAAAATTCCCGTGTTTATATTTTGGTGTATTTTTTAGACTAGTTTATCGTTTTAGCCGGGCTAAAAAGATATACCGGTCGATAATTTACACCATCACAAACCATAAAATAATTTTAATTTGAAGAATGTTGTACCCATTATGTTATGCAGAAACATCAATCAACCACCTGAATTGTATAATAGTACAAGGGTAAGCATTGAAAAATGAAAATTGTGAAAAATTATCTTTGTCACAATTGTTGTATTAGAAAATAAAGTGCACGAGAAGGGTTACACAACATAAATCAATTATACTCTGTATATCAATTTTATACAGGATCATTTTTGAAGTTTCAAAGAATATAATTTTAGCTTATGTTTCGTTATGATAATAAATAAAAGTTCATGTCAAACATTGATATTTATAATATTATTTTTATCAAGTTGGTATTCAATTATTGTTAATTTTATATTATTATTTCACGAGGGAGAGTAAAAATAAAATTATTAGTTTTAGATGTCTTTGGTAACCTTTATAACTTCACAAAAAATACTCCATATTGTATCCCCAAAAATGTTTCAAAATATTATATTTTAAATAAGACTTTAAAATGTTAATTTTTAAATGTATATAGTAGAATTTTCATTAGCAAATACTATATGTTTTATGTTCTTTGATATTTGAAAAATGTTGAACGATGAAAAATAACAAAAAACAAAAAAATCGTTCAGTCTCATGCATTGCACGGGTGAAAATACTATAGTACTATTAAAAAGAATAAAGCTAGGGTGTTCCCAAATTGATGTTTTCATGACTGTTTACATGTCTTTAAAAGACATGCACATACAATAATTGTTTGCGTCACAGAGATGATTATCGTATGTTGTATATGTGCAAAACATAGTGCGACTATGGAGGCATCTATTTTGGGACACACTAGCACAACCCTATTAAATAATGAGATGCATCCTTTTCTCAAAGATTTTTTTTGTGAAGTATAGAATGTCTCGTACTGTTTTGGCTTGGAGTTGGATCCAATCATAAGATCTATTTTTAACTGAAATTTAAACTAGCAAGAATGCATGATATGGTTTTTACATAGACATTCATGCATGATATGTCACCGTGTAAAAATGATCAGTGAATGCAATAATGGAGAGTAAGAAAGAATGGGAAAGTAGATCTTGAGAGGGCTCAAGAAAGTATTGTTAAAGTGTTAGTAAATATCATACTTATGTTTAGAAACAAACTGTGATGTATCAAGGAAAAAAAATACCTATCTAGCACTAAAGCAATGCTCAATTCTTCAAATAACACCAGTATCAGTAACCATATTATTCAGTAACACAAGGCCGGGATAATGACTATATTAACGATGAAAACATGATACTCAATTCAACCAGAAATCTAAAGATAAATATAAATTAAAAGGAAACAAATACAGACCGGTGCTATTTAGATAAACCTCACACGAGGCCTATTCATTTAAAATTCAAAGAACAAAAATTTTCGTGTTCCAGAAGAAAAAGCTAACGTCAAACCATATATGGTTGAATGAATCTGCAACTATATATCAAATTGAGAAAGTGTTCTCCCTTGTGCTACTCCCTCCGTCCCATTTTAAATTGCCGGTTTGCCTTTTTTCTCCGTCCCAAAATAAGTCGCCTGTTAGTTGTTTTCGTAAACTTTTAAAAATAAAATACCTAAACTACCACTAAAATAAGTCACTCTTCTTCACTTTATCTTCACATTCATCATCACCCCTTCTAAAAAGTAATGGCAATTTCGGAAAATCAACTTTATTTTTTATTTTTCTTAAATATGTCCAAAAATAAAAACCGGCGATTTAAATTGGGACGGAAGGAGTACAACTTAACACGGAGAGGACCCACTCTAATCGCTGGGAGTCTCACAGTGATTCTCAACTCTTTTGATGCTAGTGTTAGTAAACCCAGCACCACAGCAGTTGACGCAGCAGCCAAGAGGAAGATGCACCCTGAGGTGAAACAATTGGCAAGAAAATCAAGTTGGCTTTCTTCTTTTGGGCCCTCTTCTTTTGGGCCCTCTTCGGGCAGCCCTTCTACTTCTAGTACTTGCACGTCAATGTTTGAGCTCGCGATGTTAGCAGCCAGTAATTTTTCTACCCTCTCTCGAGGGAGCACTGGTGAAAAGGCACATTTCAAACCAATGTTCAGTGCTTTATAAGTCCGACACGCACTGTGGAAATCCTTTTCACTGCGTATGATCCAAACCTTTCTCGATAGAGATTCCGGGAACTCCATTCTGTATATATTAATAAAAATTGAGATGTCAGTATTGTATTCTAACCAACAAAAATTATAGATAGACTGTGATGTGTACTGATGAGTAGCATGACGCATATTCATGTTACTGTAGTCGTTTATATATCTAAGAACACAACTGATAGTCCTGCTCAAATAAAAAAGAATTACAAGTAGAATATAAATGAGGTTTTCCTGCCATTATCTTAGCTAAATTGATTTAAACAAGGAATTTGAAAGGAAAGCAGCAGAGACATTTCTTAAATGAAAAAATCAATTGAAGCGAATTTTCAAAATTTTACAGTAAAGGTTCTTAAAGTTTGGGGCTTTTTCTATTCAGCCGGCTTTCACTTACCCGAACTTATTGGAAGTTCAGAACTTATCAAGACTTATCACAGTTGTATATTGATGTAAGACACTTAAAGGTGTCTGTTGATGATGCAATTGCATCAGACAGTCAAGGGTTTCACAGGACCATAAATCCTAGCATAGGAAAACCAGTGTTGATACAAGATATGCAAAGCAAGATTGACATGTTTGGTGTATCACAAAAGGTTTCACATACATGAGGATGTAAAAAATCCTAGGTTAGAGTATCTTTTCTTCTCGCAATAAAGATATTCAGAAAAAAAAAACATACAACAAAATTTTTATTTGAAGGATATTATTTAGCGTCTTTTTGCAATGGTGTCAATTTAAATTTATCAAATCTTGGTTTCTATTGGTGTCATGGCATGTCTCATTTCGAAATGCATATTTTCTAGGTATAATAATTAGGGGTGGGAACACGGACCAAATTCTTTCAAATCCGGCCCTGGCTTGTTATATCAACACGGGACGAGTCCTTTAAAAATCAGAACCAATCCTAACCCGGCTTTTTTTGAAAAGAGTCAATTCCCCATGTCAACCGGTCCAAACCTAGGTGGTGAAATAAATTATTATAGGATTTGGATCAAATTTAGAAACAAAGAAATGATATAACATGCTTACTAAGGATCACGTACTAAAAGTAGGGGAAGGATATATCAAGTTTTTATAACACTTATATATTCAAATTAAGTTTAATTTGTTGTCAAAGAGTATTACTAGTTTAACAAAAAAAGTCAAAACAGAAAAAAATTTTTGAGACAAGGAGTATAAAATAAAAGTTTCAACATTAGGAGACATTAAAAGAAAAAGACATAATTTACTAATTTGCACCTCCTGATTTATTTGATAATAATTCATTCATAGATTCTTGAGCTTCTAGTTTAGAGGTTGGAGCTTTGAGTTTGTTCAAATAAAAAACAGTTGTTCTTCATTCGAGGAAAAATAATCACAATACAAAGTTAAAAACACGATAAACATGTATATTCAGAATAGTTGAAACTGATGCTGACGGATTATTAATTATGGAGTATAGGGCCGGTCTTGAAAATTCATAGGCCTGGGCCAAAACTAGAAAAATCCTAAAAATCTTATCCTTATGGTCTAACAAATTAACACATGTAAACAAATTATATTTAAATACCCCGGAGTAATAATTAATGCAATATTATTAGAAGAAAAAATAAATTAATATATCCTAAATTCATATCAATTCATCAATTTTTCTATTTTCTTTTTCAAATTTAATTTTTTTTATATCATAAATTCATATCAAATTGTCAATTTTTCAGTTTTGAACTTTTTTAGTTTTCAGTTTTTTATACGGAGTATATAAAATTATAAATATATCATAAATTCAAATCAATTCATCACAATCAGATAAAGAACATATATAACCATTAATTCATTCTATTTCCTAGCAATTAGCAAAGATTTCAAATTAAAAAATAATAAGTAACCCTAGATTTTAAATCTAAAAAATGAAAAAATGAAAGAAAAAAATTATAAAATCGGAAAGCTGTATATACGGAATACCTGGAGGCTGGTGGCTCGGCGTCCGGCGGTGTCTTGACTCTGCGGCGGCGGCGGCGGCGGCGTCTCTCTACTTGCAGTTTTCCGATTTGGCGACTTGTTCAGTCGACCTGGATTTCTTTTTTGTGTAGGATGGGAACTTTAGAGACGGGCCTTGGCTATTGGTTTCTTATACACATACATTATTAAATTATTAAGTGCAAATTTCCAAAATAGTACTCCGTATTTTATAATAAAGGGTTTTCTAAATTAGTAAGTTTTAATTACTTACATAGTGTTTTATGTGAATATATATTATAAAAATAATATACTTCAAAACTATGTTTTAAAATTTAGTATGTATTTTTTCATAATATAATGTTAAAGTTTGATTGAAAAAGTAAGAAATTTAATTTTAGGAAGTAGGAACCTGAGCAAGTACCGAACCGATACCGAAATTTCCCGAAAAAACCGAGAATACCGAACCGAAAAATACCGAACCGAAAAAGTACCGAGAAGAAACCGAACCGTAACGAACCGAATGGTCGGTACGGTATTCGGGAACGGTACGAGGTGACGTCCCATACCGAAAATCCCGTACCGAACATATATACTAAAATATAATAAAAATAATACCCCAGAGTAATATTTTTATATTCCTTCACAAGATAATAATTTTTAAAAAAAATTGGTTCAAGTTCTATAATGTGTAAATTATACTTTTATTTGAGTTTTAATTTTTGTGTATGAACATAAAAGTATTCGCAAAGATTTGAAATATTCTTTTGTTGTCATTCATTTTTTTTAGTTTGTGAAATATAAACTAAATTTTGATACGCGTCTCTTGCATTTAAATATTCATTTTTTTATAATTTTTCATATTTTTTTTTATTTAAATTCAATTTTAATTTTCAGAAATAAAGAGGTATTGTTAAATTTTAATGTGTAAAGTAGGTATGTATATTTATCCTGATTTGTACCGATACCAATACCGAACCGTCCCAAACCATACCGAACCGATATTTCGGGACCGGGATTGGTACGGAGCAAAATCCCATACCGAACCGAAATATTTGGTACGATATCGGTACGAGCTAAATACCGTACCATACGGTACCATGCTCAAGCTAGTAGGAAGTACTCCTTGATTTATAACTCCAGTCATGTTGTGGAATGAACCCACGCACGCAAGCTTGCTTCGACTCTGAAAAAACTACGCCGTGTCGCCGTCTCTTCTTCGTGGCCTTCTTCTTAATTCTCTCTCGTTCTATATCTCTGCCTCTCTCTTTCAAGGTCAGTTGTTATCTCTTTTATCTCTTGTACTAATTAGGTATTTCCATAATCACTTATTTTGTGTGATTAATCGATGGTTTTGTTAAAATCCTTTTCTAATTTAATGTTGTGGGAGGTTGCTTGATGAGAAATTTTAGTATTTCTCTGAAGTTTTTCGATGGATTTGGCAGTTTTGCGGTGAAACAATACTAAAATTAGGGTTATATACATACTCTCAAACACTTGGGTTATACTTCCTCGGTCCCGTAAAACATGGGAGTTTTGCTTTTTATGAGGGATTTATGGGGAGTGTATTTTGGTATTGAATTTCCAAAAATGTCCTTTGATGTGATAGGTAAAAGTATGGTTTGATGGATATATTATTAGTAAAAAGGTATGATGTGATAGTTAGGGTATGAAAAAGTGAGGGGTAAAAGTGACTTTTTAATAGAAATGAGAAGTGTTTTGTGGGACGGATAAAAAAAGAAAGGAGAAATGTTTTATGGGACGGAAGGAGTATATGACTTCAAAAACATGGCATACACAGATACTCCCCCGCTTTCCCCATAGATCATCCCATTACGCGTTACGATGCTTTATTATTTTCAATTCATTTTATTTGATTGTAATTTTAAAATTTAAAAATAGATTTATATAATAAATCACTCCATGAAAAGTTTTACAAAAGGTGACAAAATTATAGACTATAGTATCCGGGAAGATCTATAAGGGACGGATGAAGTGCTACATGGTTGTCACTTCATGCTATCCAAACGCTAATACGCTATCCATATGCCGAAGTTTACTATCATGTATGGCTTGTGAGCTACACAAAACCCACAACCCACGGGCAACCATAGTTTTCAGAACCGGACCGGTGAACGAACCGGTTCCGGTACTGGTTCACTGGTTTACTGGTCGAACCAGTGGTTCAACTTGTCGAACCGGTGGTTTAGACATTTTTTTTAAATCTAATATATATATATATATATATATATATATATATATATATATATATATATATATAGACACACACACTCTCTCTCTCTCTCTCTTATTTATAAATACTTAGAGTAATTAATTTATAACATTTGACCAAATCTATATGAATTTACTTCAGTTATGTCACTAAGTTTAACAATAAAATTTACATACTCTCAAACACTTGGGTTATATATGACTTCAAAGACATGGTAAAATTTGACCCGACATATTTTCTTACCCGAGATCCGACTCAAAAATATTGATGTTTGAACTAAGATTTTGTTGGCCAAACCCGAAATTACTCACTAAAAATGGGTCAAACCTAACTAAATGCGAACCTAACCTCACCAACCCACTAACACAAGATTTTTTCAAATCATGTATTTTAATACTCCGTATGAAAACTAATGTATTAAAAATAAATCCCCACTTTTATTTTTTTCTTATTACTCATTTTAGTGTGTAAACTTATATTTTGAACAAGTTTTTAATGATATCACATAATTCTCTTACATTTTTTAAAAGTGGTACATATTTAATGTTTTAATATCATTCACAGGTATTGTTAAATAATATATCTAAAAAGTAAAAAAAATCAAAATAAAAATATTCCAAGAGGTTTCAAGCAACAAAGCCTTATCCCAACATATTCAAAGAGGTTTAATGTATGAAAATTTATATGTTACTAATTTTTAGTGCAAAATGCAAGTGCTAGTATGAATTTTAATATTCTAAAATTTAGTTTCGTAACCCATTGGATCGAACCGAACCCGATGGCAATGGACCATGACTGACTGATTTGCTAGGTCTAGGAGTTTAATCATCATACTCTCAATTAAATTTTAACTCAGATGTTAAGAGGCATAACTTGACAAGAAGCATACTACAAAAAACTTAGTATAGTGTAGTTTCCAAATAGTTGCAAAGTAGATCGTGGATTAAGAACATACTTATGAGTATGTTTTTCAAACTCGGATTTGATCCATGGGCTAGTCAACACTAGATTGTATTCTTATTGCACGTTCATTAGAGGAGGATACACTAGCAGTGTCTCAAAATGGACTTACCTGGTTTTAGAGTCGGGATTGCCATGGCAATCAGAAAATGGGACCTTAACAACCGGGTGTAGATTGATTTTCACATATGTTTCTGCAGTACCTTTTGTACACACCATGAATTTGGATTAATTATTATATGCAACATTAAAGATTTTGTCTTCATATCCTTAACCACACTGTAAAAGGACACTTTAGTCATCATAGATTTCAAAAAACATATAGGTTTTTCCAATGCCTCTTGTGGTTATGTGGGATTTGTCCAATTGGTGCAAAATAATTATAAATCCCAATTTCATCTCATAATTGCTTTGTTCAAATTTCATTTGTTTATAAGTTTTCTTTGGGGTGTTTACTATTTAATATTCAAACTTTTCCTTTAAAAAAATATCAATGGACATGGTTAACTTTCAGGACATTGGTTGTTTCACCCAAAAATGGTTCTTGTCGTTGGGATATGTTTCGCAGCTTGTGCTGGTTTCTGGCTCAAAGCATATAATTCGTCCAATCAGTTAAACTCGCACGAGGTATCATTATGGGTTTGTTATCTTCAGTTTATCTCTCCTGATATTGTTTGAAGCATTGATGAATAATTCATAAGTTAGAAATTCTTCTAATTTGAACTCCTTGAGAACTTATATTTATAGATCTAAAGTTTATGGAGTATTTTCTTAGGTGTAGAGAGAGCCCTAATTCATACGAGTATATTTTTAGCTTGAACACCTATACTATGTATATCACTTTCCATTATGTGAGCATATGTCACAAATGGATGTCATGTATTTGTTTTGTTAGTTGTAATTTTTTTTCTGCCTATAAATTTATTCAAATGCATCACTGTCAATTGTTTTTGACTTTGAGATTGGATCTAATAGGTTTTTTCTCTTCACCATATCTTTCCTGATATTATTGGAAGGTATTTTTGTTTTGACTTAGATATTGAATCTAATAGGTTGATTCTACTTCAAAGGACAACGGTGACAGATTGATTGACAAGAATCTAAGTGTTCATAATGCGGAGGATCGCATTAGTGATTTGCCAGATGAGCTTTTATCTCAGATTTTCTCGCATCTTTCACCGCTAGACGCCATAAAAAAGAGTGCACTATCAAGAAGGTGGAGATATGTATGGTTAACCTTGCCCTGCCTTAACCTAGATTGGTGTGATTTGTCTGGTTTCCGTGGAATCTTTCATTCAAATGATTGTGACCTGTATAAGGCAGTATATGTGAAGAAGGCGGACCAAATCTTACAGCGGTTCAAGAACCAAAGCATCTCTTCTTTTCGCCTTTCTTTTTGCTTTGATAGGAAGCATGCTAGCAATGTTGGTAAGTGGATCAACTTTGCTGCTGAAAAGCATCTAGAAAGTCTTAGCCTCCAGTTTATTTGCACAGACGAATCTTTCTCTAGACTTGATTGCCATTATGATGAGTTCTATGTCATATCTGGTTCGTTTCTCTCACGAATCCCGTATTTGAAGAATCTGCATCTAGACTCGTGCAGGTTAAAGCTTCACAGTAATTTCACGTTGAACAGGCTAAAAACCTTGGACTTAATTTATGTGCATATAGAGGAGACCGGATTGCAGTCTATTCTCTCTAGACTGTCCACCATTGAGTGGTTACAATTGAGATATTGCACTAATCTCCCTAGTAAATTATGCATTGGTGCAAATTTACAGTGTCTGAGCTTCCTCATGGTCTCCAATTGCCCGGATGTGCAAGAAATAGAACTCGGTGCCGAAAACTTGAAGACCTTTGAATTTGTTGGTAAAGTAGCCTTGAAATGCTCTTTCATCAGCACCCCTAATCTGGAAAGAGTCTATGTCTCTTTGACGGATAGGGTAAACAGTGGAGCAGCAGGTTTGTTCAAAGACCTCGGGAATCATATTCCAAGCCTCAAAGCTCTATTCCTCAGAGGAGAATATCCTCTGGTAAGTAGAAAACAATATTTTCTTGTCAACGTGTGGCTAGGTTTGAAGAAATGAATATTCACTAAGGTTTCTTGTCTTTTCAGATAAATACACTACCAAAAGACCCACAATTGTTATTTCAGTCGGTCTTGAGGTTAGAGCTATATACGAGGCACGATGATCTAAAAGTTGATGCGTTTATGGCCCTACCTTGCCTTCTAAAATCCTTTCCTCTTCTGGAGAAGCTTTACTTGAAGGTATGTAGTGTTTCCCCACTTTCACAAAGCATTCATGTGCATATATATGTTGCACATACACTTCCTGTGGGGTAAAAATTCTTTGCAAATACTGTGTATTATTCGGAGACTTGAAAACATGACATGCTGTTGGCTTTTGATCCATTGTTGTTGCAGATGCCATATCAAACAGGGGCTAGAAGAAATGAGCTCCCGGCGGTCCAATTCCATGCAAATTTGAAGGAGATCGAATTTGGTTACTTTGGGTATTGCTGGGTAGAGTATGCTAGCTATTTGTTGAGTTGTGCAACAGGCTTGGAACGCATGGTGATTAGTCGACATCAGAAGGGCTATGTAGGATGTGGGAAATGGACTAGTCTCACTGATCCCATGGGTAAGAAAGAATCCCATCGGATCTATATTGCTTTGCTGGGAAAGGCTGCATCTCCTAATGTAAAGGTGATCATCCATTATGATAGTGGTCTCTCTCCAGGAGGCTTTTATCTCATTTGATTCTTTGATTATACTTGTCTTCTCCATCTTTTGTACCGTCCCTTAAAGTTCTTCCCATTTTTGACTTTTAGGTAAATTAAGGTAGATTATTACGTAGTAATAAAAGCAGTACGATGTGATAGTTACATTAAGAATTAAGATGAGTAAAAGTGGTTTTTAATAAAAATATAAAAGACTTTGTGAGATAAAGATAAAAGAAAGAAGAGTTTATGAAGTGGAGGGAGTGTGTGTGTGTGTGTGTGAGATTTAAAAAACCTCTATTAATAAATGAAACAAAAAATGGAAAAAATGGACAAAACAAAAAATATGCAAGAAATAAAAATCAACCCTGATATCCCTTATGGTTTAAAAAACATGCACCAATGCCTCCTTCTTTGCCGGAAAATAATTAGAGGTGACACAGGTGCAGCATTTTGAAGCTACAAGAACTTTATATATGAGTTTTGAAAACAGGTGGGGTATTGGTGCTTGTTTTGAAAATCACAAGGGGTACCAACGCTATTTGTCCTCTTTGTAATATTTTACTTCTTTTTTAATAATTATGCATTTCTCATGGTGCAAGAGATTTATTTGTATTGTTCAAAATAAATATTATGTGGTCTACAATTTTTTTCATTTAAAAAAATCATTCTCCCATTTTTTATTTTTTCATCACTTTCTTTCACATTTTTAATGGTTAATCATGTAATTATGGTGCACATGATAATGATTTTAGTTATTTAGAGGAAATTAAGGTGGTTTTCCTCGTGTGATAATTTTTTATTTGTATGCTCCATTTTCATATATAGATGTAATACATTTTGTAAATTGTGCACGCATTGTGATGGTCTGTATGTATGCACTATTATTTGTCCATTAATTTGTTTAAAGAATATATAATTTATTTTTGAATTGGATAAAATGACTCATAAGTGACTTTGTATGTGATGAAAAAAACTAAGAATGCGTTGTATTCAGAATCCGTTTATTACAATTGTGTGCCTATGCGAGATTCGTAACCACATCCATAATACATAATGCTCTGCTATTTAGGGTAATAGGCAATCTCTTAAGAGACCCACTTCTTGCACTAGGACTTATTGAATCACATTTTCATCTTTTAAAATTTACATCCTTCAATGTCTTTTTAAATATTCAGATGTGTCATAAAACATTTTAAGTGCGTTATCATTTGTAGAAAATTCACTATCTAGAATATACAAGTGCATCATATTTAATTTGTGAAAGGAGTATCTCCTTGCACAACTTTAATTAGGAAAATGTATTAAGTTTTACCTTGATTATGAGAATGTATTTTCTTCTCATATAAATGCATTACAGTGATTCTGATGATGTACAAGATCAGAAAATGTAATAATGCATCCCCTAATAGTGCCGTCTTCAAATGTGTTAAACTTAAGAGCCACAATGGGAAATGGACTTCAAAAAAATAGGGAAAACACAATGCATCGACCCCACTACCTATGAATCTCAATACTCATTCACCGCAAAGGCTGAAAAATATGCACATATACATCAAACAATCTCTCGCTGGGATAAAAGGAACAAATTTATATTTCTATCACAGGTTAGGCCCAGTATTTGCTCATTTACTCTTGACAAACAAGAATTATCCTATCAGTCTTCAATAAGTTTTAATTACCTATGTGTTCCTCTATAATTGAGATTTATATTCCGAAGATGGTCCTTTATAAATAGTGTTACTCAAATGAGGATTAATTAAAGGTATTTTTTATTCGCTAAATTTAAAATTAATTCTTAAAATAATCATTTATAATGAAGTGCTTTCCCAAAATAGTTTTTTTAGTTAAAGATGTGTATTTGATATGAAATTTAAAAGATTTTTTTAAGTTTTAAATAATTCATAAATTATTAATGAGTAAATTCTCAAAATGGTGTTTTCGAAATAATTCATAAGGTGTTTTCTCAAATTAGTCTACAATAAGTTTTACGGAGTAATTACTTATGTAGTTCTCTATAATTGATATTTATTCTCTATATGGTCCTTTGTAAATAAAGTTACTCGAATGATGATTTTTTGTGAGATATTTTTGTATTTTGATCATCCAAATTCAAAGTATATTTTCGAAACAATTATTTCTGTACAACTAAATGTAAAATTTAAAAAATACATTGACTATAAATAATTTATGAATTATTTAAAACTTAAAAAAAATTTTAAATTTCAAATAAAATATACATCTCTAATTAGAAAAATCATTTTGGGAAAGTACTTAATTATAAATGATTATTTTAAAAATTAATTCTAAATTTATATGATAAAAAATACCCTCAATTAATCATCATTTGAGTAAAATTATTTGCGAAGTATCATCTTAGAAATAAATCACAATTATAGAGGACCATTTGAGTAATTAAATCTTATTAAGGACTGATTTGGGAAAATACATCATTATAAAGAACTATTTTAGGAATAAACTTCAATTATAAAGAACTATGTAAGTAATTAAAACTTACTAATTTAGAAAACCCTTTATTATAAGATACGGAGTAGTATTTTGGAAATTTGCAACTTAATAATGTATGTGTATAAGAAACCAATAGCCAAGGCCCGTCTCTAAAGTTCCCATCCTACACAAAAAAGAAATCCAGGTCGACTGAACAAGTCGCCAAATCGGAAAACTGCAAGTAGAGAGACGCCGCCGCCGCCGCAGAGTCAAGACACCGCCGGACGCCGAGCCACCAGCCTCCAGGTATTCCGTATATACAGCTTTCCGATTTTATAATTTTTTTCTTTCATTTTTTCATTTTTTAGATTTAAAATCTAGGGTTACTTATTATTTTTTAATTTGAAATCTTTGCTAATTGCTAGGAAATAGAATGAATTAATGGTTATATATGTTCTTTATCTGATTGTGATGAATTGATTTGAATTTATGATATATTTATAATTTTATATACTCCGTATAAAAAACTGAAAACTAAAAAAGTTCAAAACTGAAAAATTGACAATTTGATATGAATTTATGATATAAAAAAAATTAAATTTGAAAAAGAAAATAGAAAAATTGATGAATTGATATGAATTTAGGATATATTAATTTATTTTTTCTTCTAATAATATTGCATTAATTATTACTCCGGGGTATTTAAATATAATTTGTTTACATGTGTTAATTTGTTAGACCATAAGGATAAGATTTTTAGGATTTTTCTAGTTTTGGCCCAGGCCTATGAATTTTCAAGACCGGCCCTATACTCCATAATTAATAATCCGTCAGCATCAGTTTCAACTATTCTGAATATACATGTTTATCGTGTTTTTAACTTTGTATTGTGATTATTTTTCCTCGAATGAAGAACAACTGTTTTTTATTTGAACAAACTCAAAGCTCCAACCTCTAAACTAGAAGCTCAAGAATCTATGAATGAATTATTATCAAATAAATCAGGAGGTGCAAATTAGTAAATTATGTCTTTTTCTTTTAATGTCTCCTAATGTTGAAACTTTTATTTTATACTCCTTGTCTCAAAAATTTTTTTCTGTTTTGACTTTTTTTGTTAAACTAGTAATACTCTTTGACAACAAATTAAACTTAATTTGAATATATAAGTGTTATAAAAACTTGATATATCCTTCCCCTACTTTTAGTACGTGATCCTTAGTAAGCATGTTATATCATTTCTTTGTTTCTAAATTTGATCCAAATCCTATAATAATTTATTTCACCACCTAGGTTTGGACCGGTTGACATGGGGAATTGACTCTTTTCAAAAAAAGCCGGGTTAGGATTGGTTCTGATTTTTAAAGGACTCGTCCCGTGTTGATATAACAAGCCAGGGCCGGATTTGAAAGAATTTGGTCCGTGTTCCCACCCCTAATTATTATACCTAGAAAATATGCATTTCGAAATGAGACATGCCATGACACCAATAGAAACCAAGATTTGATAAATTTAAATTGACACCATTGCAAAAAGACGCTAAATAATATCCTTCAAATAAAAATTTTGTTGTATGTTTTTTTTTTCTGAATATCTTTATTGCGAGAAGAAAAGATACTCTAACCTAGGATTTTTTACATCCTCATGTATGTGAAACCTTTTGTGATACACCAAACATGTCAATCTTGCTTTGCATATCTTGTATCAACACTGGTTTTCCTATGCTAGGATTTATGGTCCTGTGAAACCCTTGACTGTCTGATGCAATTGCATCATCAACAGACACCTTTAAGTGTCTTACATCAATATACAACTGTGATAAGTCTTGATAAGTTCTGAACTTCCAATAAGTTCGGGTAAGTGAAAGCCGGCTGAATAGAAAAAGCCCCAAACTTTAAGAACCTTTACTGTAAAATTTTGAAAATTCGCTTCAATTGATTTTTTCATTTAAGAAATGTCTCTGCTGCTTTCCTTTCAAATTCCTTGTTTAAATCAATTTAGCTAAGATAATGGCAGGAAAACCTCATTTATATTCTACTTGTAATTCTTTTTTATTTGAGCAGGACTATCAGTTGTGTTCTTAGATATATAAACGACTACAGTAACATGAATATGCGTCATGCTACTCATCAGTACACATCACAGTCTATCTATAATTTTTGTTGGTTAGAATACAATACTGACATCTCAATTTTTATTAATATATACAGAATGGAGTTCCCGGAATCTCTATCGAGAAAGGTTTGGATCATACGCAGTGAAAAGGATTTCCACAGTGCGTGTCGGACTTATAAAGCACTGAACATTGGTTTGAAATGTGCCTTTTCACCAGTGCTCCCTCGAGAGAGGGTAGAAAAATTACTGGCTGCTAACATCGCGAGCTCAAACATTGACGTGCAAGTACTAGAAGTAGAAGGGCTGCCCGAAGAGGGCCCAAAAGAAGAGGGCCCAAAAGAAGAAAGCCAACTTGATTTTCTTGCCAATTGTTTCACCTCAGGGTGCATCTTCCTCTTGGCTGCTGCGTCAACTGCTGTGGTGCTGGGTTTACTAACACTAGCATCAAAAGAGTTGAGAATCACTGTGAGACTCCCAGCGATTAGAGTGGGTCCTCTCCGTGTTAAGTTGTACTCCTTCCGTCCCAATTTAAATCGCCGGTTTTTATTTTTGGACATATTTAAGAAAAATAAAAAATAAAGTTGATTTTCCGAAATTGCCATTACTTTTTAGAAGGGGTGATGATGAATGTGAAGATAAAGTGAAGAAGAGTGACTTATTTTAGTGGTAGTTTAGGTATTTTATTTTTAAAAGTTTACGAAAACAACTAACAGGCGACTTATTTTGGGACGGAGAAAAAAGGCAAACCGGCAATTTAAAATGGGACGGAGGGAGTAGCACAAGGGAGAACACTTTCTCAATTTGATATATAGTTGCAGATTCATTCAACCATATATGGTTTGACGTTAGCTTTTTCTTCTGGAACACGAAAATTTTTGTTCTTTGAATTTTAAATGAATAGGCCTCGTGTGAGGTTTATCTAAATAGCACCGGTCTGTATTTGTTTCCTTTTAATTTATATTTATCTTTAGATTTCTGGTTGAATTGAGTATCATGTTTTCATCGTTAATATAGTCATTATCCCGGCCTTGTGTTACTGAATAATATGGTTACTGATACTGGTGTTATTTGAAGAATTGAGCATTGCTTTAGTGCTAGATAGGTATTTTTTTTCCTTGATACATCACAGTTTGTTTCTAAACATAAGTATGATATTTACTAACACTTTAACAATACTTTCTTGAGCCCTCTCAAGATCTACTTTCCCATTCTTTCTTACTCTCCATTATTGCATTCACTGATCATTTTTACACGGTGACATATCATGCATGAATGTCTATGTAAAAACCATATCATGCATTCTTGCTAGTTTAAATTTCAGTTAAAAATAGATCTTATGATTGGATCCAACTCCAAGCCAAAACAGTACGAGACATTCTATACTTCACAAAAAAAATCTTTGAGAAAAGGATGCATCTCATTATTTAATAGGGTTGTGCTAGTGTGTCCCAAAATAGATGCCTCCATAGTCGCACTATGTTTTGCACATATACAACATACGATAATCATCTCTGTGACGCAAACAATTATTGTATGTGCATGTCTTTTAAAGACATGTAAACAGTCATGAAAACATCAATTTGGGAACACCCTAGCTTTATTCTTTTTAATAGTACTATAGTATTTTCACCCGTGCAATGCATGAGACTGAACGATTTTTTTGTTTTTTGTTATTTTTCATCGTTCAACATTTTTCAAATATCAAAGAACATAAAACATATAGTATTTGCTAATGAAAATTCTACTATATACATTTAAAAATTAACATTTTAAAGTCTTATTTAAAATATAATATTTTGAAACATTTTTGGGGATACAATATGGAGTATTTTTTGTGAAGTTATAAAGGTTACCAAAGACATCTAAAACTAATAATTTTATTTTTACTCTCCCTCGTGAAATAATAATATAAAATTAACAATAATTGAATACCAACTTGATAAAAATAATATTATAAATATCAATGTTTGACATGAACTTTTATTTATTATCATAACGAAACATAAGCTAAAATTATATTCTTTGAAACTTCAAAAATGATCCTGTATAAAATTGATATACAGAGTATAATTGATTTATGTTGTGTAACCCTTCTCGTGCACTTTATTTTCTAATACAACAATTGTGACAAAGATAATTTTTCACAATTTTCATTTTTCAATGCTTACCCTTGTACTATTATACAATTCAGGTGGTTGATTGATGTTTCTGCATAACATAATGGGTACAACATTCTTCAAATTAAAATTATTTTATGGTTTGTGATGGTGTAAATTATCGACCGGTATATCTTTTTAGCCCGGCTAAAACGATAAACTAGTCTAAAAAATACACCAAAATATAAACACGGGAATTTTTACGTGGAAACCCAAATCGGGAGAAAACCACGAGCCTTTTTTGGCGGTACCTTGCCAACGGGGGATTTTTATTAATATCGGGGGTGTGTACACGGTACATGATTTAGGCGTAGAAGCCATTAATGGAGCATTTGAGCTCTTGAAGAAGAAGAAAATATACACTAAAGCTTTCTAGAGAGAGAGTAGATGAGCAGGGAATGAGAGTGAAATTGGCTCCCTTAGCATTGAGGGGGAGCCCTTCTTTTATAGGGGTAGCTGGAGCATCTACGGGGGGAATATTCTATTATTCCTCCATTTTATTAAACAGGCCCGGTTTGACTGTTCTTCGTAAAATAATTGGGAAATGTGGGCCGAGCCACGTATTATTTCCCATCAATAAGTCCTCCACTTTTTTAAGTTGTGAGAATCATCAACTTGAAAAAGTAAACAAGTCCTCCGAGTGCTATCTTCGATCTTCGTACTTTGGATTCTTGACCGGTTGATATTGTTGCTAGTCCTCCGAGTCTTCATTAGTTCTCNTTTTTTTTTGACCGGCCTATGCCGTGCTCAAATAATTTTATTATCTTTACCGAGGAGCTCGGTGTTAGAGTGATTAAACTTCGCGCGAATAATTATTGTAACAATAGCGATGTCAGTTCGATTAAGCAACGATGCTTCGAGTAGTTATACGACACCGGAGTTAGTACGATGAAGTGGCGGTGCTTCAAGTATTTATTTCGTCGAGACCGATGTCAGTACGAATTAAGTAAACGATGCATGACGAAATTAGTATACAGACGACATCGACGTTAGTTAATAAGAATTGTGTATGTTGCGGCAGCTTTGTTGAAGATCAGCGTTAGCCCGGCTGACTGATGTAATTATCTTCATGTCTCGCGGAGACCATCTTCGATCAAAGTGCCTCAGATTGAGGGCTTAAATGAATCGGGCGTCCCCGATATGAGTTTGCTCACTTTTTTGCTGAAACCGATGTGCAATCGGTGTACCCAATTCGATTGGGCTCAGGCTTATTAGAAAATATGTGTAAGACTGGTGTGAGACCAGTGTACCAGTTCGACTGGGTCACATATTTTCTTTATTATACTGAGCAAGACCGGTGTAGTAACCAGCGTGCCATGCCAGGCCTATGTCTCAGTCTTCCAATAAGATAATGCTGCTGGCCGGGCCAGGTCAACATTGGAGAATTAACCATGTCGGATGGTTTCGAGCCCTCTCCAAGGCCCAAAATGAACCCTTCTTCCAGGGCCCCCTCTTCCGGGTGATTAAGTCTTTTAATGGCCCTTTGATATTTACTATCCCGGGAAGGCCTTAGCTCACCCCCCCGTTCAAGTCTTCCCTGAGAAGGGGGAAATAGGATGAGCCACGGTGGACGATCCCTCTTCTATTTCTTTTAATGGGCATCTTTTAGTCCCCAATCAGTTTGATGGCACCGGCTGATTCCCCGATACCGGTCAAACCTCATGGGCCCGTGTAAGTACGGTTCGAACCTTCTTCCAGGTCCAGCCCTCTTGCAGGCATACCCTCTTCCGGGCCCCTCTTCGGGGTTTATTATTTTTTTATTTTATACTGAGCAAGACCGGTGTAGTAACCAGCGTGCCAGGTCCGGGCCTGTGTCCCAGTCTTCCTTCTAAAATTTGTAGTGGATCAAAGCGGGATGGGTATATCCATTTGGCGTGGATACAATATTTTTGCTCCTCTTGAACTCATCCCTTTGGAAATGGGAGACATGAGAATCGGCCCATGATGTTTTCATCCATGATTGTGGGGCCATGAATAATGGCATGATCCCATATCCATTCCTTTCCATACTCTTCCAAAATCACGTGCTTCCCTCTTCTTTCATTAATCAATGGTGGGCCCCTGATAGTATCTCTTCCACCTCCTTTCCCTTGCATGCTTTCGTACAATGATGCCCAATGATGGACCCTATACCTTGTTGATACATCCAAAGCATCCCACTTTATAAAAAAGAGTGATGAATGCATGTGAACATATGCACCTTCCCTCTTTCGTCCCTTTGTCTCTGGATGTGAGATGAACAAGCTGGGCCAACAGCATCTTGCCAAAGTGGAGACCGGTTTTGGGGTCGACAATCCCATCGCTGGGCTGGAAGAGCAATCTGAGGGACGCCTGCTTCGAATTAGCCTTGTACAGAATGTACGCGAAATAATTGATCAGANAAAGAGTGATGAATGCATGTGAACATATGCACCTTCCCTCTTTCGTCCCTTTGTCTCTGGATGTGAGATGAACAAGCTGGGCCAACAGCATCTTGCCAAAGTGGAGACCGGTTTTGGGGTCGACAATCCCATCGCTGGGCTGGAAGAGCAATCTGAGGGACGCCTGCTTCGAATTAGCCTTGTACAGAATGTACGCGAAATAATTGATCAGAAACGGCGACCCAATCGACACACTTGATCAGATTTGGCCGGAACGAGCTATCAGCCGGCGGATACAGGGTCTTGAGCACGGCCAGCGAATGCGCAGTGGTGGTTTCGACTTTGGCGTCCAGGCCGAGATTCACGATGGCAGTGTGGATTCTCTGCATCGCCGGAGCAGATTGCTGGAGAGGGAGGTGTCCTTGAGAGTGAGGACTTCATTTTTGACGGCGATGCAGGTGACTCTGGTCACTGTTAAGTACACCTCCACGTTCCTAAGCAGCAACAGCAGTCTTTTGAGGTAGCAGGCTGACTTTGGCTACAACGGACTTCGGCGGCATCACCGATGACCACCAGTCACTGGCGTGCAGGGCGATGATGACAAATCTAATGGTGACAGTGGTGATAGACTTCGTCCGCTTGCTCTCGGTCAGAGTAATGGCTAACTTTGGCGCCGGAAAAAGCGAATTGCCCCCGGCTGTGTGGTTGTCTCCTTCCTCCTCTTCGACAGTGGCTGCGGGAGATGTGTGGGTCGGGGCTGCGATGCTGACGTCGTGCATAAGGTGCAGATGGTCTCCTCCACACCGTTACTGGCGGAGGAGGAGGATTGGTCGTTGTCTTCCTCTAGGAAAAAATGGCACGGTGGGACGAAGGGATTATATATGATCTAGAGTCGTTATTTAATTCAATTTTTTGTGCATATGCTGGCTGGCTTCGCTCTCATAACCGTGCGTTGGTTTTACAAATCTAGCTAGCATACCATTATACCAAAAGGACTATTGCTACGTGGGTGAAATTTCTTGCTTATTTCGATGTTGAAAACTTTTAATTTGCTGCCATTTCACTCAAATAATATAAAAAATTAGAAATGACATAATTACATTATTTTTTTAAATGAACATCAAAAGTAGGCAATAAAATGAACAAAATTTGACACTATAAATAATAAACAAAAAGACTATTGTTAGATAATTAAAAGTGATTGAAATTGATTTGTATGTACTCGTTATTTAAGATTTCTTTTTTTGTCCATTTTTATTTTTGCACACATTTTATGCATTTCTTTAATCTATTTTATTTTGCAATTTTTATATTAAAAAATTATAAAAATTATATATTAATAATCTATATGTTAAGACGAACCAAACAAGATCACACATGACTATTTTTAGGCTTACACATTGAGATAATTTGATGAGTCTAAGTACTTAGATGAACAGTTCCAAAAATCAAAAATAGACAAACACTCGACCAAGTACTCAATAACGATGTGTTTTTTTATAATTAGTCTTTAAAATTAACTCATTTACAAAATGATACTCATAAATTGAGATTAATGTTCAGTTCAGTCCATCAATCTAACAGACGTTATAACGACTATGTTAAACTTTATACTCCGTAATACTTTCCAAAATGATAGAGTACTTTCTAACTTAGTATTTTCCCAAATTGATCTATTTTGGAAATAAAAAAATATATTAATTAATGAAAGAATTTAGAGAAAAACACAGAATTTGTTGGATAATTAATCATAAAAACTCAAAATTAACATTCATTTAAAGAAGGGGTTTTATTCTCCCTAATTTTAATTTGAAAAAACACAGTAATAAATTGATTGGGACAAAACAAAGAAAAGTGAACCCAGCTACGAACAAATGTAGACTCGTCAAAAGCTCCAAAACTGCCAACCCGTCTCCATCACCGGATCACAGAAGCACGACGGCCCAGTCGCCCCCGCTCACACCCCCAAATTACATCCAAAATCTTGCAAAACCCATTCAATGTCTCACTAGTTGCAGCTATTTCCGTCTCCATAGCTCGAATTTCTGCGCGAATGCTCTGAGATTCATTCTCTTTGCGGTCGCGTTGGGTCGAAGCGGGATTTGTCCGGCCCGGAAATGGAAGCTTTCGACCTCCCAGTCTTCGACTCCAACACCGGCCTGCGTTGATAGAGAAAGACATAAGGGGACGCGCGTGCACATGGCAAGGCGCGTTTACGAACTCTGGAAAGGAAACAACGTGAGAATTTTGTCTCGTCTTCTTCTCGATTTTTATTTTTTTGTTTTTCAGAAAAATGTATTATTTTACGAGTATATGTTTGCTTGGTTTATGATGGGCAGGCTTTGGAATTCTCTAATTTTGGTGGAATTTAGAGAGTCTTGTTTCAATTAGTTGGTTGCTTCCTCAGTAAACTATGAATGAAATTGTTACTCTGCCCAAGGTTGTTTTTATGGATCTGTGGAAGGACACTCTTATAAGAGAGTAAAAACGAGAGAGAAAGATGCTGGTGTAGAGAGGTTTATGGATTTGTGTTTATTGTTGCATCCATAATGTAATACTAGTAATAGTAATACACATAGAAATTTGGTTTGGCCTTGTTTTGGTATATGAATGTAAATTGAAGGTTAGGTTAACAAAAGTGGCAGAAGCAAAACTTCTGAAACTTTCTACATTAGGTTTTGGAGGTCCTAAAACTTAGGTAGCATCCTTAATTTCCCTTAACTGAAAATTGGGGAAAACATTTCTTGCTTGCCTTCAAGCATGCCCTTTCAAATACCTATCAAGGAATAGACCGAGTATGTCATGGTGGTTTTTTTTATGTTTTTTTTTAATTCAACATTCTGTTATATAGCTAAATTAATTTGTTTATCTCTACAACATTCTTCATCTACTTGGTAGATTATGGTTTCACTCTTAATCTCCCATTGTTAGTTTAGTGGCAGCATATAGCCATATATTTTTAAGTGCATGTTAAATTTGTGTAGTTGTATTCATGTTTTCTAAAAACCAATTTCTTTTGTCTACAGATATTTTTTCTCGGCGGAAGGTTGATATTTGGACCTGATGCAAGGTCATTGCTCATCACTTTACTACTAGTCACAGTGCCAGTTACCATTTTTTGTGTCTTTGTTGCAAGACATCTACGCCATCAGTTTTCACCTCTCGATGCTGGATATGCTGTTTTAGTGGCACCGATTGTCTTTACCATTATCGTAAGTCCCGTTTTATGCATACATCCATAATGTTCTTTGCACATCAATTATACAGCAGAGCAGTACTGATGGCCTGATGCCGATGATGGATTTCAAATGTGTATCTGGATTTTTTTTCTTTTTGCATCTATCAGTATAATTATTCATCATGTGTTTCCTTAACCTCCATTTGCATACATTGCACATGCATGACAATGCTTGAAAAGGCGTAATCGGGACTCAAGGCTATTTTTCCTTCTAAGAAGCGAGGGAGATATGTTTCGAGCATAAGTGGGCCTCCAGATACTTTCCTTCGTAGGTCGAAGTGTTATAGCTTCTAAAAGTCTTTTCTATTTTTTATTAATTATATTTATCAACCGGCCTATAGGTGCCAAATACACCTAAACATTTCTACCGTTCGCTTCATCTTCCTAGGCTTGCGCCTCAAGAAGTTTGAGGCAACCGATTTTCACAACCATGATGCATGTTCGAAGCAAATGTGATATTCCACTTAAAACTCGTACTGATATGAGATTTACAATTCATGATGAAACAAGAAGTGACATATACTTCCTTAAGCATAATGTTAAATGCAATAACATCTTTACATTCAACTCTAAAGGCATATGTTCAACACTGTTATTTTTCTGGTAATTGTAAGCTACATAATCTTTATGAGCTGGAAATGTATGCCTCATGTGAAGGAGAGTTTGATCCCATTTGTAGGGCTTGGCTCTCAATCCATTAAAGAAAATGCATATTCTCCACTAGGCGCCATCATCACATTCTTGGTTTTTGTGTTGTTGAAACTGCTATAATTGTCTGTATCTTTTACTGTGGACATTTTGCCCCATGACATGTTTGGGGTAATGCTTAGTAGTATTAGTTGCTATCATGCATGACATGCCACATGTTATGAACTTTGCTGTTATCAGATTACGGTGTAGAGAATGCTTGTATGCTATCTTGTTTGTGTAAGTCTGTTTGTGTGAATCTTATCGTTGTGGTCTTCATGTATGAAAACTTATTGGGTATCTGTAAAGACTCGGATCATTTCCTGGTTCTCTAGGGCGTATGTCTATGGAGCCCTAAGCTTGTTCTTTTAATAGGGAAGGTTCTTTTAAACTGTTGCCCTAGAAATTGTGACTGCTGATTATATTCCTAATTGTGTGCATTGGCTGGTTAGCTTAGCATTCTTTGCTTCATTAGTGTCACCTGGTTTATGATTTTTTGTTCTTGTTTGCTCATCTGTGACATAATACCACCATATTGCCAGTTTAGCAGTTGCTTGATTGCACAATGGCTTAAATAAAATGATCTGATTACTTTTTGTAGGTATTGGTGTTACTTTTACTAACTTCAGCACGTGATCCTGGTATTGTTCCACGTAAAGCACATCCTCCTGAGGAAGAGATTCGTTATGATGCATCAGCATCAGCAGATGTTGGAGGAAGGCAAACACCAAACCTTCAGTTTCCTCGAACAAAGGAAGTTATGGTTAATGGAATTCCTGTAAGGGTCAAATATTGTGATACCTGCATGCTCTATCGCCCTCCTCGCTGCTCTCATTGTTCTATTTGTGATAATTGTGTGGAGCGTTTTGATCATCACTGTCCATGGGTGGGGCAATGCATAGGATTGGTAGGTGTTTATGTGACACTGTCAAACATATTGTGTTTCACATCAATTGTCATCTCATGATGGTTTATTGTTTCCTTTTTTAATGATGCAGCGCAACTACCGCTTCTTCTTTTGTTTTGTTTCATCCGTGACCCTTCTGTGCATCTATGTGTTTGCCATGTGTGCTTTCTACATTAAGGTACTGATGGATGATAATAGAAGCTCAGTATGGAAGGCAATGAAAGAATCTCCAGCATCTGCAGTTCTTATGGTTTACTGCTTTATATCCTTGTGGTTTGTTGGTGGGCTAACTGGCTTTCACTCCTTCCTCATCATCACCAATCAGGTCTGTTTTTTTTCCTCCTGATATGCACTCTTGTTTTAGGATCCTATACTTTTTTGACAAAAAGCCATTGAAAGTCTTATATGGGTTTATTGTCTTAACGTATATTGTCCATGGTTGTTTAATGTCTTAACGTGGATTGTCCATGCATGGAGCTGGAAGAAGTGTGAACATTCCTCATCTTTCAATTTTGCTACGTTATTTAACAAGTGTTCATACATTCTTCTGATGTGCTTTCTTTCATACCCTCCTCCAGACGACATATGAGAATTTCAGATACAGATCAGACAACAGGCCCAACATCTATGACCGTGGCTGTTGGAACAATACATCTGAAGTGTTTTGCACAAAAGTAAGCCCATCCCGGAACAACTTTAGGGCTTTTGTGCAAGAGGAGGAGGAGACACAACAAGGGCCTCCTCCCACAACTTCCATGGGAGCTGAAGAAACAGGGGATGATACGGACCGGCGTGCAAAGGTAGAAAATGATCAAGACATTGGAGGGGACCTCTTGAGGATCTCGCGGCGTCATCATGACATTATTGAAGATATTGACATCCGGAGTAGAGGAGGGGGGAGCGATGATGCCTCCCAACACAACAATTCTTCTGGGGTTGATGAATCTGTGCTTGTTGGGGGTGGAACTTTGCTCTCAACAACAAGCAGGGGAAGAAGTGGGAGTTGGGAAAGGGAGATTGTGCCTGAAGCCGCGCACGAGAGCAGAACCTGTGTTGGGGCTTCAAAGGACGCTTCGTTTCACATCAACGAAAACCAGCTTGTACAGTCCTAATGGGCAGAGGGGGTAACTATTATTATTGAGCACCTTTTTTAATGTTTTTTTTGGTCGCAGGGAATGTGCCCTCTCATTAGGCACCGAACTGAAAAGGGCGTCTAGATTAACATCTAGGGGAGTTTTTGTGTTTTAACAAAAGAAGAAGACTTGATCTTATGGCAAATTGAAAATTGGTGTCATTTTGGTTAAAGAATCTCTTGGTTTCTTTGTCTTCTTAGGCCGTGTTTGAGAGAATATTTTCGATTAGCGTTAACGATATAGTAGTTTTCTAGTCTTCTCTTATCAGAAATTGTTTTATTTCTTGCAAAATCTCATATCTATCTCTATCTCATAATCTCAAAAAATTAATGGTTAAGTTGGATTAATCAATTGCTACGTAATACATTATAAATTATAGAGTAATTGTTGCTTTTTGTGATAGTGGTGGCCTCTTTAATTACTCGCTTCACAATATTTTGCAAATAAATACGTAATCCAACTTTGCAACTAAAGGGAAAAAGACTAGAGTAAAAACATTGAAAATATACCAAAATAGAACTTTCATATTTTTATTCCCAAAACAAGAGTTAAAATGTATTTACATTACCAATAATGATCATGTACATTACCAGAAAGTATAGTTATATGCACGTGTACAGTGTCACATTACCACGTGGTGGCAATTCCCAAAAGTAGATCTGGAAGGATTTTTAAACCACCACGGGAGAGGTATAGTCCAAGTCCAATGAAAAAAAAAACAACAAAAAAAAAGGAAGTGATTCAACTATCAAACATTTACTTTTTGCCTGCTAATTGGCCCTCTCATGCTAATTGCTCTATAAGATAGCAAGACATCAGCTGCTTGAAGTGCCGCTTGCTCTCATCATCATCAACAGTCATGAACCTCAAAATATCTTTAATGTGGGATGCTGTGATAGCTCGCTCCTTCAGTACCACTCTCAACAAACTTTGCTCTTAATTCCTTCAGGTATGAAGGAAATTGTGGAGACAGTTTTGAACATTGTTTTTGATACTCTTCATACTCAATTCCACAATCTTCCATGCCAAGTATGTAGGCAACCTCCTTGGAGCAAAAGGTAAAACACATGCCATTGTTTTAGCATTGTAATACTTGCATACAGCTTCAATAAGAGTTGCTGAAGACTCTGTTTTGTTGGTGATTGATGAAAGACCACCAAAAACTAGTGCATGCATATACAGGTACTCCTCCTAGTACAAAGTAATTTCTTTTCAGTCTCCTCCATTTAGGCTAACATTAGGATGGAAACATGAATTGGACAACAATTTTGCAAAATCTCTTTTCGGAAATTAGAAAAAAGAAAAACATTTGAGATTTGGAAGACTCAACAAAAAAGGTCATGGTTGGGACTCTGAGCCGGTGACCGGCTTTGAGTTGAGAAGCGGTTGCAATGCCTTGACGACGATTGTCATGTTGGGACGAAAATCGGCCTCATACTGAACACACAGTGCTGCAACTGCTGCCATCTGAGAACCACCCAAACAAACATTATTATCTCTTGAGGAAAGTTAATTAGGTACACATTCAAATCCTTTGTTTAGATAAATGCAGGTACACCTCAAAGCTACTAGCTAGCTTTACCTTGGCAATAGCCTTAGGGGGATACTCATTGTTTAGCTTTGGATCCACACATTGTTTCACTTTGTCTTCGCTCAATCTTAGCGTCGCCTATACAAAAAAAAACATATAAAATTTGGGTGACAAAAAGGCGACAGAAGAGTTTATGGGAGAACATTTATATATATACCCATGTGACAAGGCTCTGTTGCCCTTTGGGCATGGTGTGATCAACTGGCTTCCTTCCTGTCAAGAGTTCTAAGAGGACAACTCCGAAACTGTAAACATCGCTCTTTTGAGTAATCTGTCCCGTCATTGCATACCTGCATGCACCCATAACTCAAGCAATAATGACATTTTGATTTGTAATAAAGCAAAAAAAGAACAAAGGGTTTATTAACTCTGGAGCATGGTAGCCAAAAGTTCCCAAGACGCGAGTGGAATGCAACCGGGCAGCTGTGTCAGAGGACTGGTTTGTCAAGTTGAAATCAGCAAGTTTGGCTGTGAAATCCTCAAAGAGGAGAACGTTGCTGGATCTGATATCGCGATGGACAATGGGGGGCTGAACTTTTTCGTGCAGATATTCCAGACCTCTTGCTGCCCCATAAGCAATCTTTACTCTCTGATTCCAAGCAAGGACTGGACCTGGCTCTGCCCCTTGCACCCCTTTCCTTCCTGCATTTCATTTGAAACAACATCGTGTCAAGACAATCTTGCCCATCTCAGAAATGATTGTTGTTATTACTATTGTCATCATCAAAACCATATATATACCATGTAAAACATCGTGTAAAGATCCCGAGGTGGCAAACTCATATACAAGGATCCGGTTATCTGCCTCAAGACAATACCCAAGAAGAGCCACAAAATGATCATTCTTGAGTCTTGAAACTGTCGACAACTGTGCATATACAAACAACCTCCAAGTCATATAATGTCTATGAAGGAACAGCATCCTCAAAGTAAGTGTTGTTGAGAATTAAGAAACATAAACTGTGAATGAGTCACCTGCGCGGCAAACTCAGAATCTGGCTCTGGTGAGGAACTGGTGTCCAGCTTCTTTATTGCAACCTGTTGGCCATTGCTCAAAGTTGCAGAGAAAACACGGCCGTATGAGCCTTCACCAACCAAAGCCTTTTGACCGAAATTGCCCGTTAGCTTATTCAGCTCATCCAAACGCATCACGGGTATCTCGATGGGAAGAACTTTCTGAGGTGCTCCATTTCTCATAGCCCCAGAAGACCTTGGCTCTCTTTCACTGGCTACAACACAACCAAATTCATGATTGATTAAACAACTACATTAATAAAAGTCATTATGATTTACACCTAAACGCAATGTTGCATTTTTTAAATCCAAAACTTCATAGAAAATAAGATGCAAATGGATGTAATATAATTAACCATATTCCTTATGTGTTATTGCACATACCACCACCGGTGCCACCGTGATAGGGGTGGCCGACCTTAGGAGGGGCGGTGCTCTGATTAGGCTGCGGACCGCTGTAGTCCTCTAGCTCCCCACCACCGCAGCACGACATTTAATGATTACAATTTTTGTTGTAATTATTATATGATTAAACAATTAATGCCAACCAATTCCCCGTTGACAAAATGAACAGAATTAATGTGATGATTCAAAGAAGCCGCCGACCGCGAATCGCACCAATGCCTATATATGTAAATGGGTGCGTGTGGCCTCTGATTGGTCCTTCGAAATCGAAGAATTACACTCTGACTGATTGAAAAAATCGAATCTTTGAAAGAAATCAAAGGGAATTAATTCAAAGAGACAGAAGAAGAAAAAGAAAGTGCGGAATATTTTCTTTCTCTTTCTTCTCTTTTCTTTTTTCTGCGTTCTATGGTGGCATCGGGACTCGGGAGAGAAAAATGAAGAAAATTTTCAGTTTTGCAGGAAATTCGGTTGAAAAATGATAGGGGTAGTCTTTGTCTCCCACCCCTCCATCACCACAATAAAAGGCAAGAAAATAAAAAAAAATTAAATAAATAAAAATAAAAAAAATTGAGTTGTGGAGAAAGGGTAGGGGACAAATGGGGTACACCAAATGGTGTACCCCTAGCATTCCTCAATTCGGTTTGATGCTTTTTCTTTAGCCGCTAAAATGAAGAGATTATTAGAGGACTCGAAATACGTTTGAAGCCCGAGGTTTCATATTTTTTCTCTCCCACGTCAGTTTTAACTTACACCAAAAATTCACTGGAAATGGGTTTGAAGCCCCGAGGCTTCAAACCGAGACTTCAAACCTTCATTTTTTACATTTTTAAATATACATCTTTTAAATTTAAATAAATAAATTTAAATTAATTTATTATTTAAATTAATCGCAATTAGACTAGTGCATTAAAAAAATTACATTCATTAAAAAAATATTATATTCATAAAAAAATACATTCACAAAAAAAATTACATTCATTAAAAAAAACTACATTCATAAAAAATACATTCATAAAAAAATTACATTCATTAAAAAAATATTACATAAAAAACAATACTACAAAGAAATCACTAATTATTCGAGCGACTAAAGATATGTTCGATCAAATCCGCCGTTAGTGCATTGTGAGTCTCTCGACTTCGAATTTCTTGGCGGTTTATTCGTTTCTTTTCTTCGGTGATTTCTTCATACATAGGCACCTCCTCGTCCGGGTTGTATTGAAAAATCGTAGTCTTGTTGTCCTCTATGATCATATTATGAAGAATAATACATGCGTACATGATATTCCTCATTTTCATTAGAGAATAACATTTCGACGGACAATCTAAAAATGTGCCATTTACCCTTCAAGACCCCAAAGGCTCGTTCAATATCTTTTCTCGCCGGCTCTTGTCTCTTGAGCTTTTTGTAGGTCTGACGTTTAAGACCCATTGGTTCGGAGAGAAATTTGACAATCGTGGAATAATCTGGATATATTCCATCGGCCAAATAATATCCACGCTTGTAAAGCGTCCCTCTAAGCTCAAAAGAGGAGTACGGAGGTCTCATTAACTCAATCGTCAAAAACAGACGATTGATCGACAACGTTGATGTCGTTATTCGAGCCCGCGACACCGAAAAAAGCATGCCAAATCCACAAGTCATTCGAAGCAATAGCTTCGAGCATGATAGTAGGCTTGGGATGATCTCCCCGGGAGAAATGACCGTGCCACACAGTGGGACAATTTTTCCATTCCCAATGCGTGGAATCAATACTCCCAAGCATGCTGACAAAGCCGTGTTTAGCGGCATGCCTTGCCTGCAACTGCTGGATGTCGCTCGCTGTAGGCTTGCGTAAATATCTTTTATGATAAATTTGAATAATAGCTTTAGAAAATTTAAACACACGACCTGATACTCTGAGCTGACATCTTCAAATAATCGTCGAACATATCAGATGTCGTCCCGCACACTAACTGACGGAGCGCGACAGTGCACTTTTGGACGCTACTAAACCCGTGTCGGCCTCTTACATCAAAGCGTTGGGTGAACCAAGGAACCTCGCGTTTAACATCGGTGAATATGCGTAAAAAGAGAGGACGACTCATCCGAAAACAATTACTAAATTCCTCCGGTGTATAAACACACGGATTATTAAAGTAGTCATTTAGAAGTGAAGCATGGGCGGCCGCTCGATCCCGGTTTAAACATTGTCGTCGGGTCCGTCGTCGAGAGGATTCAGTTTCTTCTTCTTGGCCTTCTTCCCACCATTGAATACAACTCGTTGCGAAATAACGAAAAAAGAAAGCTCTTTTTTCATCGACAGATGAAGATGATCCCATTTTTAAAATATATTTTATAAATATTTATAATAAATAATAAATATTTTAGAGAGAAGATAGAGAGAGATGTGTGAGAGAATGATTTTTTAGGGGAATCTATAGGTTTCTTTTAAATTTTGATTTTTTTAATTAGAGGGGGGGGGGGGGGGACG